GGGGGGGGGGGGGGGGGGGGGGTTGACAGCATGTTAAAGTATGAAGGACCTGCAGCTCCAAGTGTAGGAGTAAAAAAGTTATATAAAGTGAACGTTGAACTAAAAACAGACATACAATTTATGTCTGACTGTATCTCTCTACTGTGACATTAATGACTGCTTCAGTGGTTGAACATGAGTCTACATGATAAATTATGGAAAACTATTAAATTACTATTCTATTTAAATAAGGAAGAAGGTTTGTAGTCCAAATCCCTTTCTGTTCGGAGTTTGCATGTTCGTGTCTGTGTGGATTTTTTCACCACAGTCCAAAGACATGCTTTGGATTCAGATCAGGTTGACTGGAGACTCTAAATTGACCATAGGTGTGAATGTGAGGGTGAATGGTTGTTTGTCTGTGCATGAAGGCCATATGATAGGCTGGCGAGCTGTCCAGGGTGCACCCTGCCCCTGCATCACGTCTTACAGGAAAAGATGTAAAGGTAATGGAGAATGAGCTTGAACTACATATATATTCAGATATTTCTGTCAGTGTGACTATCCACATGTTACACAGTGTAAACACATTTCATTCTGGCACAGAAAGACAAATCTTAAGACAAGACTTAAACCCTTCTAACATAAAGACACAAAGCTCTGATGTAAGTATATGTCGTCCTCATGCATGATGCTACAACAGCAGCCAACTTTGTCAGTCAGTGTATACCTCGTCCTTTTACCCTTTCTCTAAAACAACTCAAACAAATAAAAGCCTTTTAGATTCCATTTTAAAGACCCCTCCCACCCAGCTAAATCCCCTTTTCACTTCTCCCCCTCTCATAAGACACTGAAAAGTGTAAAAACAAGAACAAGCAGGTTCCAGAAAAGTACTAACTGTCTGCTGTTTTTAATAAAGGGCAGTGAAGCAGATGTTTTTGTATCACGCAATGAATCTAGTTGATCTGCTGTTGTTTAAATAGGTTTTATTTATTCAAATTGGTTTGGGGATTTTTTTATTTCATCATTTTTAATGGCTTGGGTTGTATTTGTGTGTTTTATATGTTTATACATGTTTTAAACTCAATGATATATTTTGAGTGTGTGCATTTTTTCCTGCTGTTTAAATGATCTCGCCGAGACAAATTCCATCTAACTTTGTCAACATGGCTATAAAGTATTGACTCTTGAACCCAAAAGATCCCTGGACAGTGAGGGTGGAGAGACAGAAACAAGCCCCACAATGTCCACTAGGAGGTCTTGTTGACTAAGATATGACACAATACTCTAACAGCAAATGAGCGTTTATGATATACAGTATAAGATAGATTTTGTTTTTGTCAGCATTCCCATCCAATACAAATAACACATAAATATGCCAGTAGTAACTGACCTATAATGGGCAGGTTTGAGTTAAAAACTCTAAATATATTTTTACATGTGCAGATGTTTAAGAGTTGTTGGTTTCCATCTGCTCAATGTGTCCTGTTTACCTCCGTTTTGATGACTAGGGGCCTTTTCCCCAGACTGTCCAGGAAGTGCAGCGGTGAGAGCATCGTCCCAAACTCCTGGAGGTCACCAAATTTGAGCTTGTCAGTCAGCGTGGTGGCTGAGATCCCGGCCAGCGGGCCCAGGCTGGGCAGGGAGCCTGCTGTCACAGAGGGATCTGGGATTTGTCCTGGCATCGCGTCAGACTCGGTCGTGACCACAGCTACGAGGCAGAGGCAGAAAATGGGAGACAGACTCAGAACGTAGCCAGATCAATGAAAAATCATGAAAAACTGTCTGCTCTGCTTGTTATAAAACACACCGGGAGCATAGTTTATGTTACGAAGGTTGGAAACAGCCATTTTCCATAAAAAATAGACGTCCAAGTGTTTTACTTGACCTGCCGTTTGATAAAGGGCCTCGAGAAGGTTTTTTCCCCAGGTGGAGGACTTTCCTTTACTGTGATGAATGGCCGCTCTGTTAAAGTTGCCGGATGCTGAGGCTGCTCTCATTATGCTATTTCATTATTTTTTCTGGAATTGATATACAAACATTTACAAGAGTCCTGGCAAGAATTTACCTTACTTAATGTCCAAAAGCCAAAAGAAAGATGAACAGAGTAGAAACCAGACAGACACAAATTCCTCTTAATTCCAGGGGGAGCTAAAGCTGAACTTTGCCAAGAAATATCCATTAGCTTTGATTTTCTCCTTATGAGACATCATGTCGGTGGAATACGGCTGCCAACAGAATAACAAGAGAATAATGTGTTGAAGATTGAAATTTAACATGTTTTCTTTTGTTTATCCCGATGAAAGCCTTAAAGATGGCACTGTTTTCTTGTGTTTTGCACTAAAAAGATTTCTGTTCTGTTTGATACTGATGAATATCTTGATTTGGAACATATCTCTGCAGACAATGAGGGACGTGTGAGCAAAGCCAGTCAAAGACACAGGAAATTACTGCAACAGCTCAGCAGATTTCCAGCCCACATGACAAAGCCAAAAATGACTATTTAAGGTCAATTATCCCTTTAGCCCACATTATAGGAATAAACGGGCAGAGACATTAGAAAACTAATAACTGAAATAAACTGAGCTGCTGACCCCTGTGAGGTTAAGGGGAAGAGTTTATGTGTCAAATATGCAGCGCTGCAGACTGTGAACTTTACAGGAGACGTGAGAATAACTTTCCATTTTTACACTTCCCCCCCAAAACTGCAGGTCAAAAAGGAAAGAGCGGAAATGTGCCGACCCGGCCAGTGTCACATGAGAGCCAGAGGCAACGTTTTGGATTTTAAAACTGGTGCAACTGGTGTGAAATTTATAGTAGGGGTAATTTGGAATTAGCTACAGACTTTTATATTGTGGTTTGACATTCGAATGATGCCAGAGCTAAATCGAAAACCACCTTAAACGCCTGAATCTCAAATAAAAAAATATTTCATTTAAAGAAAAGGATTCCCACACACACACACAATTAGACCAAAGTTAAAAACAAAACCACCTAATGCCACAAATCTCTAATATCTTGAATAAAAAGGATTCCCCTGCACACAATGATGAGAACCATTTAGGTTTATTAGGGTTCAAGGTGTAAGTGTGATTGAAACTGCTATTCAACATTATCTTGGAACGGTTCTAACTTATTATTATTATAGCCTGAGGATACAAGGAATCAGTTCACTTACACTGAACTGTATCATCATTGTGTTCTGCACTGTTTCATAGGAAAGAACTGTTTATTTCATGTTGTGTGAGAACTTGATGAATACATGTACATGCAGCTGGAGCCTCTGGTCAACTTGAAAGCGGAAGTTTTTCTTCAGTGCGGCAACAATTTATCTTACGTAACTTTGTGATTCCATCACAGAGCCGCAGTGTGAAAAACGTTACAACGCGTCTGTCAATAAAACCCCGTGTTTTTAAGATCCACTCTGCGGCACAATGCAAACACCACACTGCACTAAAACACAGGGACATTTTGTTCTGTATTGTGCAAGACGTGGGTCCATGTCAGAGCAGCATGCAAACAAAAGAGGAGCGATCTTTTCTGCGGCATGTTCGCTCAGATGTCACCTTTACTTTCAACGCCGCGAAACGCGTAAAAGTGGCGGAATGCGCAAAAACGCAGCGTAAAAGCGCAAACGTCCCCGCAGAGCTGCCCCGTGTCTGCACGGCTACTACATGCTCGCCATGACCGATGCGAGGCGCGCCAATAAACTCACCATTAAAAAAAGAAAGCATCAAGAAGTTTGTCTGTACCGACCTGACTTGGATCCCAGGTGCAACAAATGTCCTTTCTTCTGCTCAGCCGAGGGTCGAGAGTAGATTTTAAAAAGTGGGAACCGTTGCATCAGCCCGATTGTTTCAAACGTGATCCCAATCTGGGAGGATTTGGGAATGCGGAAATCAGGCGATGCCAGCCAAACGTAAGCAGCAGCAGCAGCAGCAGGGATGTAAAAGTAACATAGTGGGGGCAGAAGTGGGGAAGACTTACCGCTCCTCCCATCAAGATACACTGAGGCTGCACTACTGCTGCAATGTGGCTCAGATGGAGGCCTCCACAGGCTGCACTGCAACATGCACCACCACCGCTCATCTACTGTGAGTAATCATCACGCACAAACACAAACGATCAGTCATTTTAAAAATCCAAAGTCACGTTCGACTTAACTCTGCCGTCCACGTTAGATACATGCTGTGAGATCATGTGACAAAATATGATACGGTGGCCCTGAGGAGCAAATCACACAACTCAATTGTAAGTAAGAAAACAGAAGAGTAAATAAGAAAACACAACTGTGAATAAGAAAATACTACTGTGAATAAAAAAAGCACAACTGTAAAAAACAAAACACAACAGTAAAAAAGAAAATACTACTATAAATGAGAAAATACAACTCTAATAACAAAACACAACAGTAAATAAAACACAAAGGCAAATCACAAAACATAACCATTTACAAAAACACCATTAACTGCTTACAGAAAAGGCAGGTAGCTTCTATTGACAAGGCTCTTTGCTGATCGCATGTGTTTCATGATTTGTTGTTGTTTTTTCTTATTTGCTGTCATTTTCTTATTTGCGGTTGTGTTTTGTGATTCAACCTTATGATTTGCTCAGGGCCTCCACATTCTGATTTAATATACTGGAACACTTTAAGTTTAACATCCAATTTTAATATTTTCATATTGGATTCCTCAGAGACAAACACCAGCACCACTCTGACTGTAGATTTATTGATAAGTATTCAGCAGCATAGATAAGCAATCAATGCTCATTCGACTCATTTTTTCCAATTTAACAAATAAAACAAAAATCTGAAAGGTAAAAAAATAAACCATAAGTTACATCTTGATAAGATATACAGTTTATATATAGCACTGGATGTTTTCATGGAAAACTTTCAACATTGTAACAATGAGCTCAAACCACAGTTGATGACATTGAGGTATGCAGGTACTCAACATGGATGTATGTGTAAATACAACATTTACAGCAATCAATACACTATTGACACCAAAACACAAAACCATACTGTAACATTTAATTCCACGTTACGTCTTAGATCTAGGAACAGATCAGATATATATGAGCTTTGAAAATTATTTGGAATTTCTCTGCATGCGTTTTTTAAAACGGAAACTTTTCAGTCCCTCCTGTTCAAATAAAAGCCATGCTTTTAGCTACATCAGTGTATCGGCTATGTGTCCGGAGAAAGTTTATACGTTTTCTTTGTCACACACGAGACATTTCATGAATGTATCCCTTCAAGTGTTACATCATACTGTGGCATACATTGTTCATTGTTCAGATAGCAACCCGCAAACAGAAAACCTCTGTACATTATAAGGCCAGGAGAGTTGGAGAGTTGAGGATATCAACAGACTCAGCTTTGCCCCCTCCACCTTTATTGCTGTCCAGCCCCTCTGGCACAGAGTCCAGCTCAGGACACGCAAACGTGAACACAGACAGGTAGCTGCTGCAGGTGGGGGTGGACGTCACCACGGGAGTGCTGAGAGGCTCCAGATCGCTCGACACAGACTTGTACAGGGTCTCCCAGTCTGAGACCCCGAGGGAGCTGCTGAGATCTATGTCTGGCACGGACCGAGCCGTCTCCATGGGCGTTTTCTCCTCCAGACTGGGCAGCATAGCGTCCAGCAGCCCCTCCTTAATGTCCAGGGAGGGCTCAAGATCACAGATGTTGATTTCAGCACTGGCACACAGCAAGATATTGGAGTTCCCAGAGATGGCTGTGCATGGATCGCTGGGGATGTCCATGTCCTGGAGCGAAGGAGCCTCCTGGGTGCCATCCTCTGGAAGTCTGTCCTCGTCTGGACTGGGCAGTAGCTCTAAGGATGCTGCGGGCTCCTGGAAAATAGCCTCCAGCTCTTCGGACATTTGGCATGCGGGTTTATGTGTTGCAAGGATGAATTCAAGGCGCTCCTTCTCTTTCAGCAGGTTGGCTATTTCCGTCTCCAGGGCTGCTTTTTCCTCCTCCAGCTTGTCTGTCTCCTTCAGATAGAGCGACATCCAGAATCATCCACATGGTAAAAAACACACACAACAGTGGGTGCAAATGATAGCTGAGTAAATGCATCACTGTTTACTTACAACTTGCAGTGTGTCTGTGAGTTCCCTCCGTCTGTTGCGACACTTTGCTGCAGCCATTTTATTCCTCTCCCTCCTTATCCTCTTTTTCTCCTCCTCCTCGGGAGAGAGCTGGGATGTGAAATAAATAATTCAGTTATTGCCATGAAGAATCCAGCCATTCCACCTCCTAATCCACAACATCCGTTTTCACCCTCTGAAAAATGGCAAAAGCATGTTTCGCTGCAATGCGTCTAAAAATAGACCATTGTTGCAGACTTGCTGTGACCTGAATATAAATTGACTGCTGAAGGAAGGCACACAGCCAGCTCAAGGCACCACAGCAGCATGCACAATAGCACTGTTGCACACAAGGAATTCAGATTGTAATGTAAATTCACACTGTTGACAGGTCTGTGGCAGGTGTAGACATCGTCCGGGCTGACCTACCTGCTCGGCTTTCCCCTTCCTGGCAGCATTTTTCCCCTTGCTCCTGCCTGCTTTGGGTGCTGTGTGGTGGGAGCTCTGCGGCTCCTTGGCTTGTTTGCTACCCAGAGACGGGGAGACAGATGTGATGATCGTAGGCTGGACCATCCACTGGAAATCTGGGGTAGAGGAAATTGCAGTGACTGTCGGCACAAACTGAGCGTCCTGAAAGCTCACATCTCGGCCAACCTCCTGGAACAAATGGAATGAATCAACAAAGAGGATTACAATATGTTGTTTTCTTATTATTATTATTATATTTCCATGCTATCTGTTTTAAAAATAATATTTTTCACAATGACAGTCATTAATTAAACCCACCAATCATATGTTAAGAGTGTAAAACGGAGGGGAGCCTGCATGTGTTATGTTTTCTTGAAGTATACCTGACCAGAAATAGCTTCCTCCAGATCAATAGGCTATTTGACTTTATCATTGTGTCTGACGTCAGCACTGACGCAGGGATGCTGTGGAGTCTCCTGAATGGATTTTTATTTTTCTCAATGAACCGCTGCATCAACACGCTCGCATCTTTTCGGTCCCAGGACGTCAGAATCATAACAAGTCGAGCCACAGTGCAATTCTGTCACATTTGCACCTGCGCTCGTGTATAGTTCGAATACACATTAATATATGGATTGAGGGTGGGGGGGTGACGTTAAAAAAAATAGATGCCAGTTTATTAAAATCTTATCAATCAGTTCCCCCCCCACCCCCACAGATTAAAAAGCATGAGGGTCTGCAGTCAGTCTGGGGGTCCCATTAAAGAAACACACAGGTCGTTAGATGCGTGTGTAAACGGGGCTGGGCTAAGTGCTGAATATATGTGATCAACGAATCCATTCATACCTTTGCACTGCTCTCTGAGGAGGAGGCTGGAGAGCTCGCCTCCTCTGGCGGCGTCTTCTGGCACAGCGTCCCGGCAGGAGGAGACTCTGTCCGGCGTGTGGTGGGCGACACCGCGTCCATGTCAGGCGTCAAGTTGATATGAAGCATCACGAGGGAGGGAGGAGGAGAGGGAGAAAAAAAAGAGATGTCAAAGCCCCCAATCAAAGGCAAATATGACTGTGGCCTTCCGCGGGGCAGAGCGCGCGCGGCTCTGTTCTCCAGGTATCTACCTGGCAACTGGACGACTAGAATGAAAGCCCCTCCTTTTATGCTCTGCTAGAATTTTATGAATGAACCAAGACTGTACCATTCACGACGGAGGAGGGGGGGCAGATCTGACAGGTCTAGCCTATATATTCTGGAATAACAAAAGCTTTACATTGAAATGAATTCCCCTGATTTCATTTAGTATCATTTCTTATATGTGATCACGAATTCATTGTCACACGAAAACCAAACGCCCCCTCCCCCCTCCCCAAATATCGGATTCTTGTGGGGGGAGAAACGTGAGCCTATTTATAAATGAACGTATGAAACCATTTCCTGCGTGAAGAAAGCTGTGATGTTCTGGCGCATTCATGAAATCAAGGGTAAACCTGGGACTTGGCAAAAAAGAAAAAAATCACTGTTTACAAGCTGATTTCATTGCAACACATTTTAAAACGACCGTTTGAAAAATGCAGAAGCATTTGTCGACAATATCTCACACATGAAATCGTCCTGAATGAGCAGCCTCCACGATGGATGCCCTGACAGACAACAGACAGACATCAGCACTGTCTTTTCCTCTGATAAGGATCGAGGGCTGCTGGCAGACATAATGAAATGCTGCTGAATTGTTTACTTGGGGGGAGGAGGAGGAGGAGGAGGAGGAGGAGGTGGTGGTGGTGGTGAGGAGCAGGGGTTGGACATGTGGGGGCGGAAAAATTCGCGTGACACGACCCGGAACTGTGAGGGCGGGGTGTGGGGGGTTAGCGTCACCATCCTTCACTCCCATCACAACATAAAGCACCACAGAGGAAAGATGTTGTTTTCCTCCTGATCCCTGAAGTTTTCCATCATATTCAACAGTGAGAAAACTAGAAATCCACTCAGAGAGTCTCTGCACCTGCCCTGTGTGTTTTCCATAGTTTCCAACATTATCACTCACATGTTAAGTGTGTTATTATCGCTGAAGAACACATCTTAATATTTAATAATGCAATCTGTGACTGAATTGAAGATCACCTGACTTTGGGATGTGGCCATTGAAGAACAAGTTGGAGGGTTTGAACAGTTTTCTCCTATGATCCATCCGAGTTGACTGAGCTGTGTATTAAAGGTTTTGACATATTTAACCCAATTAGACATTTTCTTTTATCTGTTTCTTGAACAGGTTCTTATACACAGTTGCTGCTCTTCTGTGTCATCACATGGAAGTTTTTTTTATTCGAGATGATTCTTTAACACAAATAATAAAATATGAAAACGATTTTCAGTCACAAAAAAGGCTGTGATGAAAGGTTTAGGAATATTCACTACAATGTACCTTTTTCTACTTTCTTGATGATGCATCACACACCATCAGTGTTTATTTTAGTATTTCCTCTTGTTTTCTTACATATCATGACAATGTCGTATTTATATCCATTTAAATACTAAACTTTCCCTAATTTACAGTTGCTTTACAAAACAAAAGGATTCAACAGCAGGGCATTCAGGGGAATCTGACTCTTTTAGCCATTTAATAAGTTCATATTTAGAATTTTTTTTTACATTTAATTTCACTGACAATAAATAAAATATTTAATATAAAATACACACATACACAATACAATAAACACCCTTTTATCTATTGCCATATAGTTCCCATGCTTTATGCATTCTTCTCAGCTTCTGGAGATTTGGTTTCTTTAATTCCTGCAGAGACAAGAATATTTAGTCACCACCTGATATAAGGGCTGTAAAAGGTCTTAAATCATAAATTTAGTCCAAAGTGTGCTACTCCATCATAGTACCTTCTGGTCTTTGTCCAAATGGAGGATGTCAACAAGTGGAATCATGGAGGGGCGGCCATGGGCGCACTGGAAGGGCAGCTTGCAGGTAGATAAGGATGATACCAAGCAGTTGCATTCAATGCTGCTCAGGCTGTGGTTGAATTTGATGGCACCTGTTTAATGCACACACGTAAATAAATCACCAGTGTTAAGATTTGAAGCTGAGCACTGGAGAAAAAAAGACACTCTGTGGTGGAGAGTATAACTGTACCATGACATGCTATGGAGGCAAGCACTTTCAACACAGTGAGAGGCAACGTTCCTCTCACTCTACCAGCTGAGCGGAGCAACTGAAACAGTAAAAGAAGCGATACGTTTGACCATTTATCGAACAGTGAGACTGTTTCTGCATCACAAACGTTTAGGAGGCAGAAAGACACTTTCATGCTTACCTCAATCTGCTCTCGAAGATACTCCTGGAATGAGAGAAAAGATGAACATAAGGGAACAAAATTGTAAAACCATCACTTGGCTTGGCTAAGTGTGCGATAGCGTAAATGATGTGGATACTGAGGTTCCACACATCTTACCTCAATTATAGGCTTAATTACAGATGGTCTCCCTCGCTTAAGCTCATTACTCTCCCTTTCCACAAAGCACAGTGGTACCTTCCCCACAAACACTTGTGTATCTGCTGCCTCTGAGAATGTCACTTCCAAGCCCAGATTCTGGAAATGTGGCTGACAGGACCTGTAGGAGAAACAATGCGTGAAATGTTGTTTTAATCAATGTTATGGTAAGACATGCACAGATTGGGAAAAACTCTTAACTGTTTCACTTGTCAGCTGAAGTCAGTAAAGAACAGAAAGAGGCTGTGTGCTCTAAAGAAGGCTGCATTGTGTGGTTTGACAGAATTCAAAGTAATGTTCCCATGTGCGAGGCAGCGGCATCAGAATCATTGCCATCCCGTCCAAATCAGCCAGAGATCTTGGAAGTGGATCCAGAAACCGGCGATCCAGAAGTACTTTACAGGCTGTTCTCAGACAGAGGCATGCTGAAATAATATTCTGACAAAACAGAGTCCAAGAAAAATAGAGGTAATAACAGGAACTTTTCTTCCTCAGTTTAATAGATTAAACAGAGGCTTTTTCCACTGTATCTTGCAGGAAATCTGGTTTACACTATTAATACAGGCACAGGAGTAATGACACTACTGACTGATGACATGGGCTGAAGTGCTACGCTACAGCCCTGAGTTAGGACAGGGGTGAAATGAGGCTGCGTCACAGCACCCAGCCTTTTTTGTCATCTTTACTGCTGCCATCCTTCACCTCATTGCCAAAATCTGCTGCCGGGAGTCTCGGCTGTTCTACAGAGCAGACAGCAGGCTGTTAAATCCCCAACCAGTTCGGAGAGTCAGTAAATCCATCAAGCAGTGACAACATCATTACACAAAAGTAAGAAAAACACCTGTGGATCCTTAACAGCTTCAACAAGACAAAAAGTTCCTGAATAGTGAGGACGCGTGTTTTTGGCAACATTCTCTCCTGAAAATCAAATACTGACTTAACTTCCCCCGAGGGATGACTTACTATTGGTTGTAGGAATGTTTATCATTAACTGTTTACCGACAATAAGAATATTGACTGATTAATACCATCAGTTGTCACAGTTGACAAACTGAGCAGCAGACTGTAACTATCTCTGAATAATAAGTGGAAAACTGCTGAGGACACGTACAAGGTTGACTCTCGTGCACATTGTGTAAAGCTAAAGCAGAAAGTTATGCCTCACCTGCCGAAGATGCTAAAAACTTGGAACTCTGGCTGTTTTGACGATCCATCAGGCCAAAAAGCAGAATGGATTTCTACTGACTGAGGGAGATGGCAGAGCAGCGCTGCAGGTGTGTGATGAATGAATCCTCATGTTCTACTATTTATGCTGCTCTTTGCACTTGTAAAAATTGATCACTTGTTAAAAAAAATTCCATTGGTATTATAACTTTTTAATCTTGATGGTTAATGGTTAATCATCAGCTAATGAGCATTGGGTCTAAACAAAATCTACATCCCCAGTTGTTTGACCTGTCTATAGATACTTTTAACTTTATCCTCTCAAAATCAATTGTATCAGCCTTTAAGTTATTCTGCTGGTTTTACAGGCACAAGTGGCTTTGCGTTGAAAATGTAGAGTTGATAAACTCACCTAAGCAGCCTTAGCTCCCCTTCCGTCACATGTATCTCAAGAGGTGGCAAAATGTTTGACGAACGCAGACGTCTCTCCCCTGGTGCGTTTGGGTCATCCTCATAGGAATCTGGAACAGCACATATGGTTGTGTACTAGCATCACATTGACATACTTTTGAATCCAACATTTAATTCTCAATTGTTGTTTTATTTTTTTACCTGCAACAAGATTTTCAAGTCGTATTCTCTCATGTGCAGCATGTTGATCCACCAGCACCAGAAGATTTTCTGTAGTTTCAATGTAAAGATGCACAAATATAAAACATCGGTAAAGCAACAAATGACAAAACAGTGAAGTTTGGGTCTGTACCTTTAGTTTCAGGTCGTGCTGCCGGTTCTTCATTTTGTGTATTGATAAGACACGCAAGGAACTTCTTATCCACTTGATGAATAACCTGTAGGGTAATAAAATAGCAGTTACTACAATATATCAGTGAAGACCAACAAAAAACATTTTGTCTGAATTATTTAAAACAAGAGAAATGTGCCTTCATTGATTGAATCATGGCCTTGGAAAAGCGGTATGGAAACAGGATGTTGTGAATCTTCACAGAGAGTCCATCCGCTTGTCCACTTGATATGTCCACGCCCACCTGTAGACAAAGTTAATTATGAATCACTAAAAACAAGCAAAAGTTCACAGATGCATTAAAAGTCATCATTGTTTACCATGGGAGGTTGGACGAACACGGGATTACTCCACTTTGAGTACAATGAGGAAAGTGAATTCTCACCACCGTCACCTGTGAGTTCAGACGAGAGCACATGCAAACACAAACAAGCTGGTATCCATCATTTTGTACATGAAGTGTGTGTTAGGGCCCTTACAGTCTACAGTCTGATCTGTCTGTGAGGTACCTCTGCCATCAAGCCCTGAACTAATCACTCTCTCAGTCCTGGATTTAGACAGGAAGGGCAAAACGAGATCCACCTGAAATGGGTAACACCTGTACTCCATCCCTACGTGAACATGGAAATAAACATGGCTGAGGTTGATCCATCCCACATAAATCAGCTTTTTAAGTTGAAGCAATCACAGTGAAGAGTATTTTTCTTATTGATGACTACTCATATTTTTCCACCAGGGCCCAATGTATATAAATGTGAGTTTGTAAATGAATTGTACTAACAAAACCTTTGGAATCGTTCCAGTAGATTGTCCCGGGTAGCTGCGACACACCAGCAGGCGCTACACTGTAATCGACTGGGGCAACTGCTACAATCAAAACAGTCAACGAGAAGTTGTATTCAACAATAAAAAGATTCAAATTGGTATACTTAGTCTTTGCCAAGTGTCTGGAAACATCTAAGTCAGATGCTTCATCCACATTGTTCACATCAGAAAATGATTGAGCCATAACAGTTTCTCTCAGTGAAATCCAAACTCTTTTTTTCCAACTCTCTCTCTCTCTCATTTGTTTCCACCTCCGTCTTCCTAGAACAACCCAAGTGCAATGTTGCCAGACTCTTAGCAAAGACCCAGGAAAACTATTTCAGCATTTTATTGGTAAAAAAATCACTTTTATTACACATTACTTGTAGCAGTTGTGCCATAAGATTACATTGTAGCCACTGCTGCCGCCTCGTGGCTGTCGGCGTAGGTAATCTACTGTAAGTAGCATTTATTTACACAACCACATTTATAAAAAGAGGTCCCAGGTTGAAGAATTCCCCTTTAACTCTATAAATTATGTCAACTAACGTACCTGTCTCAGAGATGACGCTAACGGCCATATTGGTGACATCAGATGTACAACGCACTTGAGTTTCTTCTTCTGGGTCCTCGTATTTGCTAAGACCAGTCACTCTGTTGACGTAAACTGTCTTTCCCACTGATGCATCGTAGTGATGGAGCCAGTCACCTGATGTTGTATCCTCTTCCTTCTCAACCTGCTGAGCGATTGTCTTACAACCCGAGGCTGGTTCAGGGTCCAGTGAAGGGTCACAGGGATTCTCGTTGTTATTGCTGTCTTGGATGTCATTACCACCTGTGACTACCTGTGAGTTAGTCCCAGAGATGTCCACTGACACTTTAGAGTCCACTGGCTCGTGTTGTTTCAAATGGCAGAGTTTAGCCGCCAAAGATTTTTTGCCTTTATTCTGAGCTGAGTGTGGTTTTAGCTGAGTGAAACCTGAGAGGGTTGGGGGACTTTGGAGACTGCTCTGTGTCTCATTTTCTCTTGTCTCTGTATCACCACCATCTACCTGATTTTTCTGAAAAACCAACAAATTCTGCTGGTTCAAAATTGGGCGGTTTGTCTGAGGGAGCTGAGAATTGTTTTCAATACGAGTCTCCAGAGAGGATAATTTTGATTCTTTAGATTTACCAAATATTCTTCTAAACTTATCAAGAGATCCAGACTCATTCCATAAAGACAACCTTTGACAAGATCCAATTCTGGGGATCTTTGAGGGAACGACGGGAGCAAAGTCGTTGCATCGTCTTCGAGAACATCTGTCAGGGCCTGTAACCAGTGAAATTTTGCACTTGGATGTAAATGATGTCTCCGCTGCTCTCTGTGCTGGATTCTGCTGCTGAAATACTGACTTGTTGATTTGGGATGGGTGCTGATCCTGCAGATTTGGATGAATGAATGGATCAGACACGCTGATCTTTCTGTTACTAATTAAAGGTCTGTGTCCTCCTGCACCCTGACAGGACAGTAGTAACTGCTCAGTGCTGTTTAGATCAGGCTGAATATGTTGAGTGATGCTTAATCCTAGATCTTTTCTTCTTCTTTTTGTAAATTGTGTTTTTTCACTCTCTGGGGAAGCTGAAACACATAAAATCTGAGCGTTACTGGATGGTTTCTCCTCTTCCTCAGTGATGTCTTTATCAGATGCAAGTTCCGGTTGAGTCAAATCACACTGCGGCTCATCTCTACAGTCTTTGTGTACACATTCTTCATGTTGTGTCTTTTCCAAATCATTTGCAGGTCTCTTATCAGCCTTGTATTCGCTGCACTCAAGCAGACCAGACTCCCGGCAAACACCGTCCTCCGAAACACAGAAATCTTTGCGTGGACGATACACAGATTCAGAGGCCAGCTTCATTCCAATACTGTGATCTAGTGTGGAAGCACTGTGACCCTCTCTGGATGTATTGTCCATACTAATCTGTGCAGGAGATATAGCGTCCAAATCAACCTGAAAAAGCACAGCTATCAAGTTCTCTCTGCTCAGAAAACCCTTCACTGCCTCTTCTATGCAGAACAAAATGCCATCCCAATCTTTCACCTCGATCAACGTCTTAGCAGGCTCAAGACAGATGTCGTACTCCGAGTAAGGGCACTTGATGTTGATGATGTATACTCCATTCAGCTCTTGGCTCCGTTTATGCTTTGGACTCCTGATGGCAGACTGCCCATCGGGACTGTCGTTTCTCTGATTAGTGCTGCTCAGTCTGCGCAGGAGAAAGTTCAACAACTTGTGTATGCGTGTTTTCAACAGCAGTCTGCCATTCACGTACAGGAACTGTAAGCTGTTGTTGTAGTGGCCCTCTTTGCCGATGTAGCCAGTCACTTCAAACTGCCCGTGCGTGTGGCGGATTTCTCCCAGTTTCTGTGCTCGCTCAGTGCCGTGTATCTGAGCAAACCTGTGGTGAGTGTTCCTGGCTTTGCTGAGCTGCACCACCATGGCTCCGGTGCAGTCATTCCTCAGGGTGACGGACACAGAGGGATGCATCAGAGAAATGGCCTCCACTCTGTGTCTGATCCTCTCTCCCTCCAGGACAGCGTCCACCCTCTTCCTCCGGACCGGCATGCTGTGGAAGAAGTTACTGATGACGACGGTGGTGCCCGCAGAGGGTCGAGCAGCCTCTGCCTCAAACACACGGAGGCCTTTGCCGCTCTTGAAAACCTTCACGTGTGTTTTCACTGACGACCTGGTGCGGGACGTGATCTCAACAAGTGTGGATAAAGCAAAAATACTCGCCAGGGCTTCTCCTCTGAAACCGTAGCACCGGAGATCATCCAGGTCTTCCAGGGAGCTGCATTTGCTCGTGTGGTATCTGTTTCCCACACGCTCCATGTCCTCGGCGCTCATGCCGTCCCCGTTGTCGATGACCTGCACTTTGAGGGACTCCATGTCCACCCGGACCCCCACACAGGTGGCCCCTGCATCGATGCTGTTCAGGACGAGCTCCTCCACGCACTGCTGGAGGGAGGGGATGGAGACACCGGAGCGGAGCGTCTCCTGAACCTCTCCGGGCAAACACTTAATCATAGCGTCCGTAACGTCCAGTCATCTCGCTGTGTTTATCCACCGACCTAAACCGACACGATACAAGGAGACGACTCGTTAACTGTCAGTTAGCCCCTAACGTCCAGTAACTTCCGCCATTAGCTTAACGTTAGCTGCCTCCTTTAGCGCCAACGCTTTTAAAACCGTGACATATTTATAAAAACTTACATAAAACTAAAAACGCTAAGCTAAAGCTACAACCTGAGTGACAACAACCTCTACTGTTGTTTACAGTCAACGTGGAACACTAAGAGAGTAGCGCAGCTAACGTCCAAGGCTAACCGCGCCATCTGCTGTTCAGGAGGACGCACTGCATCTTCTTTTTCCGGCGGTCAATGGAAAACAACCATTCATTTTATTTTGTATACTGCCCCCTGCTGTACGAAAACTGTTATCTCATGTGTTTATCAACCGAGTTTATATTTTCTCTGTATTTGTTCAGTTAAGTAAAAATCTCACCTATTTCCTGGAGCCGAGCAGGTTTCCGCTTCTTCTTTCTTGTTTTTCCCTCCAGACTCCATTTCATTTCCATTTTCTCTGTAAGAACGACTCTTTCTTTCCTACAAATAGAAAGTCAGTAAATCTATCTTCAGATGTGACCACTGGCTCCACTGTTTTTGCTTCATAACATCATTGAGCAACACGATTTTATCAACAGTTTGATTTGGTCACAGCAGGAAAAGTCCTGGTGGAACAGGTGTTAGCAATAACACTAAAGAGGAGCCAGCCTGACAAGACAGTGACAGAGTCAGTAGAACACAGGAACATGAAGCTAAAGCAAATTAAATGAACACATCATAATTACTACTATTAGCTGGTGCTGCTGTCATCAATAACACTATGTCTGTAAGTATCACTCATTGTTTTCATTATAACAATCAGTCTGACAGAGCTTGAATATGACAGTTACACAACTGGTCCTGGTCTCTCTCTCTTCTCTTTCTTTCACCCACCTCTCCTCTCTCCACCATTTTCTCCTCTCGCCCCGACCGGTCAAGGAAGATGTCCGAGTTTTTCTCTCTCCGCTCGTTTCACCTGTGAGTTTCATGTTAAAATGTTTGTGACCATCTCACCCGTCTTACTGCCAAGACGCTGTACTAATCCTGACATTTATTTTGGGACTCTACGTGAGTATTTCCCAAATGGATCAAATCAACACAAATTGAAGATTCAGTGATTCTACATCTTTGTCAGCATTTCTCCAAAGTCATTAACAGAGATCAGTCCTTGCCAAAGGAGGGCAGCAGCTTCCTAGTGAGCGTACAACTCATGTTCCTCTAAATGCTCTTTTCTCTGTTTTCTGTTCTGCCACAAATATCCCCTTATCGCTCTTACCACAATAAACATTCAAACAATGTGAAATCTGCTGAAATGGTTTTTCCATTTATTATATTGTACATGTTAAGAACACTTAACATACACTTATTTTCAACAAATTATATGAGTTACATTCCAGCCAGTAAAAAGACTAAATAAATAAACACATCTGCTTTAAAGTTAACACCACAGTCACAATCTATGGGTTGTCTTATTTTACTATGTTAAAAGATGAGTGATCTAGGCTGTCAACTGTCTTCTCGTTCTTGAACTCCGCCTTGCTGATGTGGGACTTGGGGCTCCCGGTGGATTTCAACCACTCTTGCATTTCGTTCACCTTGCTGCGGGGCCCTTGTAACTGCCCCTGAACTGTTCCTGAGTCTGTGTTTTGGACCCATCCAACCAGGCCAAGCTTCTTCCCCTCTGCCTGGAAAATGAAACAGAGTGATGATGGGTAACGAAGCTGGACTTGGATACGTGTGATTTGGAAGGAGTAAAAATACAGTTCAGAAAGTCTTGTGGCTATTTGACAGACTAATAATACTGCCTAATAAATGGTGACACCAAACTATTAATACCAAACACTGTATTGAGTATTGCTGCTGCGTTCAATAATTACGTCATCAAATTATACAAAATAAGCATTTGTTATTTATCATTAAAAAAATCTGGTGTTTTAAAAGGCTTGTGGATTTTAAAATAATTAAAAGAGCAGGTAAACGATGATCACTTCATAAATCAGGACGCCCCTCAACGTGGGCTATTGTGCATAAGCTTTAAAAAATATACAATTTTACGACAGGCATCGATATAAGTTAGTTTGGCTTTGTATTTCTTGATAAGTATTATTATTATTCATTAATTAATTAATTATGATATTCGATCCTTGGAACAACCCAAAGAAAACACATATTAGTAAAACAGAATCTAAACATTACACATTGAACATAAGTAGCAAAAATAAATCTTAACTCAAAGTCAGTCTTCATCAGTGAGGATGCAAAGTGCTGATGAAGGACTAAGCTAGCTCGTCAAACTTACTTGAGTGTATTTCCGGAAAAAAACACCCTGAACTCTGCCAAAAACTTCATAATCCACCGAGACGAGGTGTTCAGTGGACATGCTGGACCTGGAGGAGGAACAAGACAGTGGAGGTGAGTGCATCATGCAGGTGCTCCATCGCAGCTACAAGCTAAGCTAACACCGTTCATGTGCATTCAAACGACGAGCAGCTCTTGCTAAAGAGCAGCTTTAGCTTCGTGCTCAGTTCGCAGCAGAATCACCTGGAAGTCGCTGGGAGGCTGTGACGTCAACAAGCGGGTCTGACAGTTTTAAAACATCCGGGACTCTGCTCCAGGAAGTGACGTCTCACGGACCTATCAGAGAACCCCTTGGTTTCCAGGCAACAAGTGTAAACGTTGGAGGACAGAGCGCCGCAGCAGACAGCTCTGGAATTTATACATTCATTTATAAATTCATTTATAATCAGTGGGACACTTGAGAGGATCTTATCTTTATGGATTTTACAGAATTACAAATGTTGCTCTGGTGAGTAGAGTTTAATATTCTTCCTCCTGAACTCTTTTCATCTCGTGAGCAAATCCTCTGTGTGTTGTTCTATTGAGGTTTCTGATTATTTGCTTCTTTAAATCAATGCTGTTTGTGGAATGAAACGATGACAGACTTGACACATGTTTCAGATCAAGATCATCAAGGCAATAATAATAATAACTGAAGTCTCCATTACACTGAGGGTTACGCTGTTAGTGGGACAGTTCATTCTTTCTGTTTAAAACAGCCGATGACAAAACTACCTTCACTCAATGTGAACTTACTTTCATGTTCTGGGGCTGTGGACTGCATCACATGTTCTTCTCTCCTTCACCAACACCTCGTTGATTATTTCTATTCAAGCCCCGTAAAGGAGTTTTTAACTGGTTATGAAACGGTCTTATTTTGACATCGCTGCCTCTTTATGACCTTCAACAACAAATGAGACAATCGGGAAGAATATCGACTTTGTGTGGAATGTCCCCAGGATAGTGGTAGGGGTTTACATTTTGATTTAATAAAAGCATTGTTTGAAGATTGGAGTGATTTGGTATCATGTGTTTTTGTGGAGGAATGGGGGTCTGTCTAGTTCAATGTAGAGGCCCCCATGGTCCCTTTTACCTGGGGCCCCCAAAGTTCCTGAAAACTCTCCTGGATATCACCAAGATCTTTCTTTAATTTGTCCTCTAAACCTTTTCCCTGTTGACTTTACTTTGTTTGTCATTTTATTCCTTTAGAAATAAAAAAAAGGCAGCTGGTTGTGTATGAAGCAACAGGTCAACCTCAAAGACGTGAGCTTCAACAGCAGATGAAGTCATGAGTACGCGCACAAGAGGAAGGCTTACAGGACAAAGGCAAGGCAACACTCAAACACAACAGGATGTTGTACCTGGAAGGGGAGCGGATGGAGTAGACTGCCCTTTTCCAAATAAGCCCCTTTGCCACAGAAGACCCTTCAACCCCAGGACACAAGACTTGCTTGATCTGAAGGATTTTGAAAAAATTACTATTACAAAACAACCAAGAGGCTCAGTGTTGCCCCAGGATCATCATTTAAATGACATCGGAGAGACCACAGGATCCCAGCAAAGAAGAAAAGACTCACACAGACTATCCAGTGGAGAAGATCAGGTCGCCCGAGCAATCCAAGCAAAAAAAGTAATGATACAGGAAACGCTGTTGAGGGTTGAGGAAAAACTAAGACAAAAGATCAATGGTGTTGAGGCTACTACTAGTAATGATGAGTTAAAGAGAGAGGAGAGGAGAGGCAGGGGACAACCAGAGCGGGCAAAAGCTCAGACAAACACCAGGCTGCTGATCCAGGAAAGACGACAACAGGATTTTAAGCAACTTGGGAGGAGGCAAGATCAGCAGCCTAAAGACAAGATGAAGGGTCCACAAGAAGACGAGGGGGGCAGATGGAAAAGAAGGGACACAAAAGTTGCAGAGCGTCCCCATAACATCACAGTCATCAAGCAAAAAGTGAGTGGAGAGCAGAACAAATTGAGATGGGAGAATGTGAAAGAGCATACCGGACGAAAAGGGGATGAAAAAGATCATTTCACTGGTAGAGAGGCCAGTTTGAGGCCACAGGACAGAATAGAGGAAGGAAAAGACAGAGAGCAAAAGAAAACGTCTACAGGTTGGACAGAGGAAAAGAAATACAGGCAAAAAACATATGAGGACATGCAAAGTTATATTGAACAAGACATGCCTCAAATAAATCAAACTGCCGATACACTGGTAAAAGAAAACCACCGAGGTGAGGAACGTAGAATATCGAGGAAATCCTCTCTCCCACCAGTTTCAAGTCCTCCCACCAGAAGACCACTGAGGGAGGAGCTGGAAGTCGAGAGCTCAGACTCCAGCTCGAAGCTTCTCCCTTGTGGAAACTGCAACAGAACGTTTGCGAGTGAAAGGTTGGAGAAGCATTTGCAAATCTGTAAAAAGAGGAAACCATCTCGTCAAGTCTTCAGCTCCTACGCTCACAGACTCAAAGGATCTGCCAATGGGGAGTATATGAAATCCCACAGCAGAAGCAAGACTCCAGAGGTAGGACATTAAACATTGTTACATTAAAACAACGTTCACCCTGATGATGTGCAGTGATGTCACCGTGGGTTTTCTTTGGTTTGGAGATGACAGTTTTGTTTGTGTGTGGTTTGAAAGACAATCTGTTTTTAATGTCTTTTGTTCAGGTTATAAAGAAAAAGAGCCAAAGACAAAACAACAAGTCAAAAACAAAGAATGTGTAGCAGCAGAGTGGACTCCCGGCTGGAAACTCAACGCAAAAACGGTTCAAGTGAGTCGACCCAAAGGGAGACGACGCTGTGGCCCTGGACCAGCTGAAAACAGAAAGGCACCATCTTGTTTTTGTCAATACAGTATCTGAATTCAGGGATTAAATTATGTTTGTAAATCCAATGGGAAATTGTCAAAGCATCATCTGAACTCTTCAGAAATGTAGTTTTAAAGATAAGTGCAGTCTAAAGAAAACGTTCTGCATTTAATTCTTCAATGAAAAGTTTAGAATTTAATAACTAATAAAACATCATAGTTTATTTGTTGTATTTTGAGTAAAATCTGTGATGCTCAGAGTCAGGGGCGTTACATTTACAATTTGATGGTGCAGAACTATCAAAGTAGTCATTAAAGATAGTTGGGAAGGTTGTGTTCATTTTATAGTCTTAAAATTAGTAAAGGTTTTGCAAGTGTATTTTGCAGTTTATTTCATATTCTTTAATACCTGATGATATTCAGTCTAAATGCTGACATTACAGGTGCAAGCATACTTCAATCAGAAGAGACTTCTGGGTCCTCCTCCCAGGGTCTGCTCACTGGTTGGATTGGATTATTGTAAACACCCTACAATCAGCGTGCAAGAAGTGGTGGGAAGAGGGAGATGGAAATGTGAATGAATGGGAGGAAGACAAAGTTCGCCTGAACTGACGCCAAGATTAGTTTCCTCAGAGTTTCCTCACTCTCAGGCCTTTAATTTGATCTCTAAATCTGTTCATATAAACTATCAGAGATAGCGACAGTGTATTGTAGATAACACTGTTGGAAAATATTGACCATATACACGAAAAAGACAGCTGATAAGTTTTATTTATGGCTTTAACACAAGGCAACAATAGGACTGTGAGCAGAGGAGTGTTTGTTTATACAAGTGTTACATCTCCACAATATAAACCACATATTACATGCTGTCACACTGTATAATAAAGGCACAACATCGTCATACTGCTGCTCTAACTTTGGTTTCAATGGCTTGTAAGGCACACTCTGTATTTCACATAGCATTTTACTGCCAGTGTTATAAGGTTGACATCAGCTTGTAAGCTTTATTATGATGAAAAGGGTTTTTACATATAATTGCACACAATGAACAAAATCAGCAGATCTCAAATAAAAGCAAAAACATTTGCTTCCACATTTGCTTTTTTTTTTTTTCTTCACCTGACACATTTCAGGAAGTACCAAAGACGGATTAAATGGTTAAAAAAGTACAATAAAAAACAACAAAGAGCTGCAAGGTGATAAAAGCTTTAAAGACCATGTTGTCCACATTCCAAGTGTTCTTTCATGATGAAGATAAACCTACATGTGCTGCACCGCTGAGAATCCAAGAGTCAAAAACGGCAATAAAAGGAGTAACATACTTGTAAAAAAATTAATCAGTAGTTTCGTGTTTCACCCAAATGCTCTATGCTCTATTTATACTATAATAAAACATGCAAAATTCAAAAATGATATATTTGCATGAGATAAAAGCGATAGCTAACATGTCGGATAAACATGACAGTTTTAGAGGCTTTGTGTTGTTTTTTTATGACAGAGCATTGGAGCCATCTTGAAGAAAATAAAGTTCTGAGATTACGAGGAATAAAGTCTTAATTGTGAAGAAAAGATTCCAAATACTACGAGAATAATTTGAAAAGCGCTCGCTGGAGTTCCACTCCTTCTGGATCCAACATCTTGACAGCTGCCAATCGCAACGGTTTGTTGTGAGACTAAGAAACGGCAGCATCGCAGTCGACCAATACCAAACATTTCCTCCTCCACAAAAAAGCAATTTCTTCTTTTTATTAAGAATAGACCGAGTTTCTTGCACAATATTTCAAAGTCTTGATATATACTTGAAATAATGTGGCGCTGATGAGCCAAAAAACATCTTTATTTGTGGGCCTTAAACTAAAGTATAACTTAACAAGATGCTCCACATTCCTCAATTTAACACAGGACACAGGCCCAACTTCTGATCTCCCGCTCTTAAATGACACAAATTTTGAGTTTTCACTCATTAAATAACAAATTTATTCTTGTAAAAATTACAACTATTAATATTAATATTGTGATTTTGTTCTCATAATCTCAGATCCCCAGATGAAGTTAAAAGTGATATTTAAGAAAGCTGTATTTTCACATTGGAAGACTGTGCCAACATGAGTGTGGACAACATACTGGCTGCCAAGCTGAACAGCTGAAAGTAGAGAAAATATCAAACTTGGATGTGTGAGCAAATTGTTTACTATTTGCGTGAGCTGGTTTTGCCTGTTGGGTGATAAATATGTATATCTGAGGCAGTAAAGGACTGAAGCCTTGGTGCTGACGTCACTAACAATCAACACTAACACCACCGATAAATTTACCTTCACATTGAAGAGAAACATCATCAGTGTATCTCTCGAGGGTGTCAAGGTCCAACGCCTCATGTTGAGTCCAGCCAACATTTCAGCCTGTGGAGAAACTTAGCGAGATCACTGCACCCATGTGAACACAAGTGTGCAAGTATTATACATGTACGTGCAAGCAAACATGTATACCGTGATGTAACCGTTGTGAGTGGGCACGAGGATGCGTCGTGAACTGCACCTCTGACCGAGCCTTCACTTTCCAACTAACCAGCTGTTTACTTAGTATGTGCTGTGAGTTGTGACACTTCTCCCATAATCTAGAAACCTGCGAGTTGAGGTTCACACGCTGGCCCCTGCAGATCTGCTCCCGTGGTTTGTGAATCCGCCTCCTCTTCCTCCTACATCCCCAGGCACACGATCGGGGCGAGGGTTTCCATTATTGTCCCTTCCCGCTTCCCGTAGAACTGAAGAATTGATTGCCGCCCAGAGCCTCTCGTTCTCCTTCTGCTGGTCATTGACCTAGAGATGAGAAGAATACACTGTGCTGATACTTATGCACATGGATTGAAGTTGTTCTGAAGAGGGAGGGAAGCTTCACCTGCTTCTCCAGCATCTGGATCCTCATCTCTTGACAAGCGACTGTCTCTCGCAGCTGCAAAATAAAGCGTTTGGTTTAACATCATGGAGTTGGTTTGTTCCTATTAGTTTAGGATTAGCACTGTGTAGGTCTGATACCTGTGTGACTTCTCTACCAGCACTGCAGCATACGCTCGATTCTCCTCTTCTGCAGACACGAGTCTCCTCCATTCCATTCATGTTATCACAGGTCATTCGTTTAGTCTGTGCAGACAAACGCAGAGGGAGACGTCAAGAGCGGACAGGAACAGGCAGAGATATTTTGAAGTTTTACTTTGAAACACTTAGCTATGTTGTCATTACCGAGAGGTCTTTCATACTGCTGACAGCTGCTGCTGCAGCCTTCAGCTCTTTAAGCTCCTCATAAGGTAGAGTGACGCTTTCTGAGATAGAAGAGAGCTGGTCAGGAGTGGACAGGTCAGAGCCTTTCGGTATCGGGATGACCTCTGCATCCTCAAGCTCCTGTTGGACGAGAACCTTGCTGAATTAAAGAACTGTGAGTCTCCACTTTGATGTTTCCATCCTATGATTCAAACTAAATGTTTATTTTACTTGGTGCTTTCATGAAAACAAACCTTTCTGAGCCAGAGTGGGCAGGAGCTGTCCCCAGTCTGACTTGTCATTGACATTATCGGGGTCTCAAAGAGGCACCCCTCTGTATTTGCCTCCCGTGTTCCTCCAAGACCCCTGTCGCGACACTCTGTCTCTCCAGGCTCTATGTCCAGATCAACTGTGGATGTAGACGCCTCCTGACCCAGTCCTTTATACATACATACATACACACACACACACACACACACACACACACACACACACACACACACACACAATAATAATGCACAGGCAATGCAACTTGTTCTCCTGGCAAAGACAATAAATTAATAAACAGATGTTGGAAGAAAAGCATTTACAAGTACCAACTGATAGTCCACTGCTGTTGGAACGAATAGTCTTGGAGTTGAGCACTTTCTCTGCAAAGAGGAAAATGAGTTTATTAGACAGCTGGCTACTTGCTGCGGTAAACTGTGCGGGTCTTGATTACTAACCCATAATGATAATGGTGTGCCATCCACGACATGAGAGGTCCGGTACATGATGGAGGGAACCAAAGATGGGCCTTGGCATGGCAGGACAGACCTCTGAACCAAATCCCTTATCAGCGGGCATCCCAAGTCGCCCGTTTCCAGCGTTTCCCCATGCAAAGATTTGATTGTCTGAAAAAAATTATACGCAAACAGTATCAAAGGTCTGCGCCTGTTCCAAACAAATAAGCCATCACATTTTATATGTTTATGCATATTCTATATATATATATGTATGGAACCCGAAAGTCTGAGACCACTTTCACACAGATGTCATTACCATAAATGCAGTGCAGCAGTGCATGGGTTCTTACCCTCAGTGGCTGTAATGGTGAATCCATCTCCACAGGACACTTTATTCACTGTCTTCCCTCCAAAGGGCCCAAGAAGGACTTGGACCCCCTGGTGCTTCTTAAAGTCCTTCACACCCAGCTGTCCATACTTGTTGCAGCCAAAGGTCATCAGACGACCACGTTCTGTGAATCCAGAAATCATATGAAATAATGTTTCTGTGAAACTGTGGCAATTTTGGTGATTTGTAGAAATAAGGGCCTTTTCCCACAGTACCATCAATCGCAGCTGTATGGGTCTTCCCTGGAGCAATGACCTGGATCGTGAATCGCGACAGCTGCTTTACCAAGGTCAGCGTGGTGATGTACGGGGTGCCCTGGTAACCCTGGTGTGGGATAAGGAAGAGGAAGATATCTGAAGAATTAACACATCTGCATCAAGTTTTTAAATGAAGACAGTCCTTAGCACAATAGGCAATTTGTAGGGGATGAGTTTGATAAGAGCCTATTAAATGTCTGATGGCACTTATCAAACATGCCTTTTCTCTCACGCACCTGCTGCTTTTGATAGGCGTTTATCAAATGTCTGTTAGTGCTGCTAGGCAAATCGTTGGATCTGCAGTTTATTTAGTTGAAACCAAATAAAATCAAAAAGAACAGCACTTGCTGGGCTCTTCCTCCTCATCCCCCTCTGGTAAAAACGAACAAATCGCCTACTGCCTTTAAGTATTACCCAGTACCTCCCCGGGGTGGTTTTTGAGACCGGAGATTCCCTGGTTCAGACCCAGCTTGTTGTAGTCATTGTTTCCACATGCCAGGACTTTGCCAGTTTCGGTCAAATAGAAGGTTCCATCGCTGCCACATGACACTGAAGAGATGATGGCACCTTTAGGGATCTTGACCTGGGAAAACCAGAAAACACATTTAGAAATAAATAGCTACAAGTCAGAATATTTGATCAGATTTTGGAACTAGCTCCAGTAAGGCTAAAAATCTTAACTTACTTGCATTGGAGAAGCGAAATCATCCTCGCATTCCAGACCCAGTCGCCCTGCAGCAGGAAAATAGTAATTTTGACAAGGATCACTTGGCATGACCTTAAAGGGCCACTGTCTCCACCTGCTGGCTACAGTTATAACAGCAAAAAAAAACCTGGCAGAGGCTTAAAACAACAGTGCATGCAGAAATCCTGCGTACCATACTCTCCACAGCCCCAGGAGTAGACCTCCCCGCTCTGAGTCAGCACCACCACATGGTTGTCCCCACACGAAACCTGACGGACAGGCCGCTCCTCAAAAAACTCCAAAAGCACTGGCTCCAAACTCTCAACTCCCATCTCGCCCTCCACTCCAATGCAGCCATAATAGTCTGACCCAAACATGTACAATTGGTCCTCATCTGTAAAAACAGCAGTGAAAGGTCCATTAAAGAAAATGTGTTGGTTTTTTTTTACCCCCTCAAGTTTTCGCTGGAAGCTTTCTCCACTCACCGGTGACACAGGCAGTGAAGTCAGCCCCACACGCCACCTGTCGGATGGCCTTCCCCTGGAGCTTCTCCACCCTCTTAGGCTGCCGATATGAGGCCTGGTCTCCGTGCCCCAGCTGGCCCACCATCTTGCCTCCGCCTTGCACATTCTAAACAGAGTTGAGAAAGTTTTTATTGTTGTGAAGCACAAGAACAACCCGATCCATTGAATCTGTCCCAGGGTGATACTCACAGCCCAGGTGTACAAGTCCTTTTCCACTGTGACAACTGCAAAGTGGCTCTCTCCTGCACACACATGCTGGGCACTACTGCCTCCTTTAAATGTGTCCATTTTCTGGGGGGTGAACTTCCCTCCACCCCAGAAGTACACCTCCCTTGAACGTGTGGTCACCACGGCAACAGGGGTTTCGGTCACTGTACTCAGCCTACAGTGCGACCAGGAAAACAGATCAGATATGTGATACAAACTCAGAGACTTCACACTAAACAATATTAAACAAGTGTTAACAACTTACTTGGGTTTCTTCATTGCTGAATTCAACAGGGCTACTCGCTCTTCCAGCTCCCTGACAGAGAGTGAGGTTGTCATGAGTGTCGTGACTGTATATTCATTGCATCCAACAGAATATATACGATTTTGTTATTAAGACAATAAAAATAACTTTTTCATTTTTCTTTCATCCAACTTACTTTCGGCAGCAAGAGATGAACGGCTGGTCCAGAATCTGCTCAGATGTAGGCCTCTCTGCAGGATCCTTCGAGATGAAAAGAACACAGGAACGTTATTCTGATATTCTTCACAGAAGCCAGGTTGTTGATTAGCATGCACTATTATGTCTATTAGAGAGAACACCCTCTGATTACTCCCCTGACTTACTTGATCGAGGCACTCGTACACCAGCTTGATCAATGCAGACGAATAAACATCTGAGTTCACATCCATTGTCCAGTTGCCCTGGACTATTTTCACACAGAGGTTCAGAGGGTTCTGTATGGACACAAACAGATTTAGTTCATTCCGAGGAAACAAATCAAATTTCTCGGATTAATGCCAGAAAATCTATCTATTTCTAGCAAACTTACCGTTGCATCAAATGTTCTTGTAAGAGTCAAGACTTCAAAAAGAACGCAACCCATGGCCCAGATGTCTGATTTGAAGTTGTACTTTGCTCCCTGGCACAATTCAGGAGACATGTAATATGGAGTTCCCACACACTGGATTTACAGAGGGAGAAAAAGTGCAAAGAGGATGATTAGTATCTTGAGCTGATGTAGGAGCTATGCCATAAAACTGTCCAATGATGAGTACTTGCAAAGTAAATTCAGTCTGTGAACATTCACAGCCTGATACAGTCTGTGATCAACTCTACCAGGTAATGACAGAGTATTAACTGTACACTCACTCTTAGATATGTAAGATTTTAATGTCACTGTGATGAATTTAAGAACCTCACCTCAGCTTCCAAGTGGTGAAAAGTTATTTGCATGCTTTTCTCTGGATTTAATGTTCATGACAATCTCACAAAATAATATGGTAACACCTAAAATAAAAAGAGCATGCACACTAAACCACTTAATCTCCACCAATTTATTGATTGGCTGATAGAATCCGCGGATGAGCCTTTCAAATAAATATTGGTACTGGCATTTATGATTTCACAGAATAAACAATGCAAAGACGATGCGATTTATCTTGATATTTTACACAAAAAAGTTAATTTAAGTTCATAATATTTATGGTTGAACTGTAAAATAATGGAGTGCAGAGGGTATTGAAAACCACTGCGTAAGATTCATGTAATATTTACTACATCACAGCCTCCTGGATTAAGATGTTGGTGGGAAAAATCACAACTTACAGTCTCTGCCATTGAAAACTCAGAGTCGAGCTTCTTTGCGAGGCCATAGTCGCCGAGCTTGATGAGGTCAGTCTTTGTCAGGAAAATGTTCAGAGTTTTGATGTCCCTGTAAGAAAAATAAAACGGTTCCATTACCAAGATATAATCCTTGTTAGAAAGAAAAATAGAAAGTCATGTGAATATCTAACCTGTGTAATACACCAGCTTTGTGAATGTGGGCCACCGCTGAGGCAATTTGGTACAGGTACCATATGACCACCTAAGGAAACCCATTCAAAAAAATGGAAAAGGATATAACCATCTGCTTTGTGTGAAATAAACAGCCTGCAATGTTGCACTCGTACCTCTTCAGAGAAAAGTTTCCCCTTCTGCTGGTTGATTTTATCATACAGATTTCCTCCTGTGATGACAAGGACATTAAGCATTCAGTCACAGCTGAGCAGCATTCAAACCAATCTCAGTCAAATCTGCAGGGTAGACACTGACACTGTGTTTTTACCTCCCCCCAAGAGGTTGTGTTTCCTGTCCACTGGTTTGTTTTGTGACTCGGGGGAAGAAAGAACCAACTAAAATATGGCATAGACCTTGACTAAGGGGGCGGACCCAGGATTCTTACTTATCATTATGAGATAAGGCTTTTTTGTTTAATTCTCGTACATTTTCACCATAAGATCCTGATGAAAAAGGAACATTTAGGGGACTAATATCAATGAGTGTGTGCAGATACAAATAACAATCCGGATCTAGTTGATTGAAATGCGGTTTCATTAGTGTTAGGCCTTGTCGGATGTACACGCTCCACTAAGTTCCTGTCCAATCTTACCATTGCAGTACTCCAACTCAATGAGCAGAGTGTTTTTATCGATGAAGTGATTGAAATAGGCGATGATGTTGTTGTGCTCCAGGATGGAGAGGATGCTGATTTCGTTCATGACATCTCTGCTCTCCTTCTCTGAGAGCGAGTTCAGTTCCACCTCCTTCCATACCACCAGAGAGTTGTCCTAGGGAAGCCAGAGGGGACATTTTTCTAATGAGTTCACAATAGGTTTGCTGGAGGTAGAGGGTCAAACAAACAGACTGCAAACCCCTGTGCAGGCAGGATAAAGCAGAGAAGGCGGGGGAGAGTCATTTATCTTCCTCACACTCAAGAATTTCTCACAGGGGTATGGAAACAGCAGAGCAGGGAGCAAATCAGGTTGCCAGACACAGGGTGTACAGTCAATCACAATGACACACTCAGAAAAAAAAACATTTAGCACAATTGGATAGACTTTCTTGTAGATGATTAATTGATTGATTCTTGTTATTTTTTATCCCATTATTTAGAAAAAGGAAAGAATGAAACCAGACTGACAGCATCAATAACACGACTAAAAAAATAAAACATCCTCAGGTTTTCCCAAGACTTAGAGACAAAGGTGGTCAATTTATAAGCATTAAAATTTAACGACCATTCTATCCATCACCACCAGGGCAAATATGTATGTTTTCAAGGTGAGAAGAGGTTCTCATTATTTCTAAAAGGGAGACCCAATGTTTGTCCATGAAAATCTTTCCTTGACATGTTGTTGTTGTCGGTACATTGAAGATACATGTCTTCGTCGGGCTAGACGATTCTATCAATGGATATACCAATTTGTTAAGAATTTTCAAAGCTTTGTTTGAAGTACAAAATGTTCTTGTACATGGAACAATTTTCAAAATATATTTAAAGATTGGTGGCTTTGCTTTTCCACCTATGCAGGGGCAGGTTCAGGGGTGGGGCCAGAGGGCACTGGCCCCTGAAGTACCCCTCTCCTTTTTAAAAAGAACAAAAACTTGGCACACAAAATTGGAATTTGTTAAGAATCTTCATTTTGTATGATTTTTTGAAGTACACAATATGCTTGAACAAGAACCAGTTTCTAAAATATATTCAACAATGTGTTGTTTTGCTCAAAGCTATACAGCAGTAAACAAGGAATGACTTAAATGTGCACCTTACTGAATCCTGAATTGTAATGGATGTTGGGCATGTTAATGGCCCCTTAAGCAGTTTTTCAGACATGAACGGGACTTTGTATTTTCTCCAGACTTTATCTACCTTGCCTCCTAGTATAATGTCTGTAAGGATCCAGGCAATCTGTGAATCCAGCAGGGGATCCCCGCTGGATTCACCGCAAGTGAGTGGGAGGGTTGATCACACTTCTCACACGCGACAGACGCAAATATCTCATGACATGACCTCCGGATATAATTCAGAGAATTGGCTACAGAGTTTACCCAAAGTCTGCCTGTCACATTCACAACTCAGTGGAAGGTTTTCTGCACAGACGCGTTCACAACAGCATCAAATCCTCTGCATTATTATCGATGGTGCTTTAACGAGGGACATACAAAAAACTAAAAGAAAACAATTAGCTCCTGGTGAAAAAGAGTTGTCAACGGTGTCGGCATGCTGTAAACATGAGCATAAGATCTCCACAGTGGAGTTAAAACGTCACTTCCTGCCTCTGCCTGCTGCACCCCTCTGCTCCACCTCCTACCTGAATAATGTGGAGGATTTCATGCTGTTGTGAACGTGTCTGTGCAGAGAACCTGCTGCTGTGTTGTGCATGTGTGAAAGACAAACTCTGGGTAAACTCTGAAGCCAATTCTCTGGATTTTACCCGGAGGTCGCCCGAAAGTAGTGGCCCCTTTCTGGCCCCTGGTTAAGAAAAATCCTAGATCCGCCACTGGCCCTACGGCGTCACGCTTAACAACAAAGTTTTCATGGAGGACAGTGAGTCCCCCCCCCCCCAGCAGCCTGAGCTGGGGGCTTAAACCCAAACGTACCTCGGTCCTCCGGTACAGAGTGGCCTCTCCGAACGCCCCTCTCCCGAGGATCCGGATGGGGATGTAGTGCAGCTTCTCCTCCTCGCCATTAAACGTGCAGGACGCGGATCGCTCGCTGACCACGGACCCGCTGCCCAGGTCCGAATTCAGCGAGTCCAAGTGTCTCTCGTAGTCCTCCAGTGACATTTCTGTTGGGGGACTCGTGATGGAAATAAACCCTGAGGACAGGCCTTAGCGACAGCTCCGTGAGAAAGAAGCGCTGCACAACCGCACACACCCGCCGGACATGTTACCTGCGTCACCGGGAGAAGAGGAGCCGTCTCAACACGACCTCAGACACACGCGTCACAGCCACGTCCAAGTGATCAGAGAGGAAAACACGAGAAACGTGTCCAACTTCTGAACTTACTCTGGCGTCAAGAGTCACACCGCAGACATTACAACGTAAGACAGCTTTTAGGGTTTTCACAATAAAGAGATAATGGCGATTGGCGTGCTGGGGTGCATTTTACGCTGAAATCCACTGGAGCGGATTTCCTGTGACGTGTAGCTCTCCTGTCAGCTTGACTAATAGAAAGTAGCGCATCGCCTTCACTGACAAACAAGCCGCCATCCTGTCGCTCAAACCCGGAAACTTTCAATTGCACCGCTGGATTCAAGTGACTGGAATAAAATAAATCAGCATCACACTCACTGCTGGTATCTAGAAGTCTCAGTTCACATATTTAAATCTCAAGTCATTTTTTTATTTGCTATTTCACTTGACACTTTAGTCATATTTTATAATAGTTTATGAGTTGTGGATAAAATGAGATAGTATAAAATAAGATAAGGTAATCCTTCATTTGACTAATTTAGGGAAATTTACTATGTAAAAGCAGAAAAAAGTAGTGAAATACACACCCAGTAAAAGTTAAGATAAAGAATACGTTTTTCAGTAACAATTTTAAAAGTCAAATAATTAATTACCATAACATTACAGGACACTTCTTTTTATAATAGATTGTGTGTTGTGGGTAAAATAAGATAAGATAAGATAAACCTTTTATTTGTTTAATTTAGGGAAATTTACTATATAAAAGCAGCAAAAAGGAAATAGTGAAATACACACTCAGTAAAGATTAAGGTAATAAATGAGTTTAAAAACCTGTATAAATACTGGGAGCTATAAAATACAAAAATGTACAATGTTAACAAAATATTAAAACAAAACAGTATTGCAGATTAATGATACTGAAATTTCACATAAAACAATGAACATTCCAAACTGAAATATGAATATTTTCAAATTTAGACATGATTTATTTTACATTATATTGGTGTACTTATTACATTTTAAATACAACAAATAAAGAATCTCTCTACTTAGTTTTGCCCCCCCCCACACACACACAGTTTTGATGTAATATTGACAGAGTAGCTGCCTCACACAGATAAAAGGTAGCTTGCTCGGGTGGTTCCTGATTAAAAGACCATGGCGTATCCAGAGATGGATTCAAATGAAGACGACAGCACAGGAAGAAAATCATCTCACCGTAACAAGAGAAGTAAAGGTCGGCATGTGTTTTTTTTAAAAACATCCCTCCTAAAGCTTTTACTAAACCTACTGTTTACTTTGAGGGGACCTGAACCTGTGTGTTTATTCAGGATCTGTGTCCACGGTCAGAGTCGGATCCAGAAGTGTTCCACTTTATCCTCTGGTGATCGTGTGTTTAGGAGTACTGAACACGATTCTACTGTTAACGGCTGTTGTTATTGGGATTTGCTGTGAGTATGATTTTTCCAAGGAAGGTGTTGATTCACGCTTCATTCATTTAGAATCAGTTTAGCTTATCAAGTTTTTATCCCTCACTACATTTATCCTTTCTCAACAACATAACATGAATTGGTAATATATGTGACTAGAATTATCAGCCTGCAGTTGTATCCGCCCAGCTGGGGCAGTTTCTGTCAACATGAGACTCATGGACTAACTAGTTCGAGGTGAAGATCAAAAAAGGGATTCAAGTGGTCACCCTGACCTTTGACCTTCCACCACCAAAATCAGTTACAGTCAGTCGCTCAAAGTGAACATTTGTAACAAATTGGGAGAAAAATTTCCGCAAGGTTTTCCTTGTTTTTTTTGTAAGGTCAGAGACAAACTTGAGCTTTGACCACCAAATCTAACCAGTTTATCATTCTTGAGTCCAAATGAATGTTGCCAAATTTCAAGAAATTCCCTCCAGCCGTTCTTGAGAGACCGTGTTCAAAAGAATGGGATGACAACAACCTAAAAAAAAAAAGAACACATCGTTTTCTGAATATCACTTTAAAGAAGTGGTCTTTTCATTGATTGATTGATTTTTTTGATCACAGGTGGCAAAGTTGATGAGGGGTCAGCTCCAGAACAAATAACAGCATCCACACTCATCTTAGAGGTGAAGCAACTTCAGATAATTCAGAGTGGAGCTGTCCAGGCTCAAAAGGAGTCCGAGGAAGGACTAAGAAGAGAACGCAAGACCAACGAGCTACTTCAACAACAGATAGAACAAAGCAAGACCCTCAGTGACGCCATCCAGAGGCAGCTTGAGACACTAGAAGTGGAGAAAGCAACACTAGTATCCTCATCGTCTGATATCAGTGAGAGACATTTTGAGTGAATTTTGGAGTCAAGCCCTCTCTTCATCTTGTGCCTTCAGCAAGTTTTCTTCTTTCAACAGGTCTAAACTGCGGACGATGCCCCTCTAGATGGTTTTATTTAAATGAATCATGCTACTTCCATTCTCAATCAGAATACAATGCCTTAAAGAACTGGGCAGACAGCAGAGAGGACTGTATCCGCCGTGGGGGCGATCTTGTTGTGATTGAAGACTGGGCAGAGCAGGTGGGTCCAGTATGCTGTAAACCAGACAGGCTGTGATTTTCAGTTTTATGGATATTTTATATAAAATAAAAAATTCAGGCACATTTAGAGGACTGATATCTGGAAGTGGCTTTATTCAATTTAAGAGGATGTTGAGCTATGGCATTGGTACGTGGTGGGTGCCATTCTAGCTTGCACTCTATTACACAGGTTATTGTGTTTTTTATGTTGTACTCACTGTAGATTTAAGATAAGAATTCAGACTTCACCTCTGTTGACACAGGTAACTCTCTATGAGCACCTACCAAAACGTACAATCCAACAAGAGTGGTTGCTGTCGGGTCCGGGAATTTGGATTGGCTTTACTCGTGAAGCAGGGGACACTTGGATGTGGGTGAATAATGCGACGCTGCTGGATGAGGGGTAAGCACTTTAAGTGTTTGTCACTTTCAAAACAGTGAACCATGAACGATCACAAACCTCTCAGTCTAAGATTCTGAAGGAAGCACATCAAATATATGTGATAAAAGGAATTTTCAGTTGTTACGTGCTTATGACTGATACTTACAACTGTTCCAACTCAAGTTATTTCATTATCAACATTAGCAGCAGCAAAAAATATGCCTATGGTAAAAGATATAACTTGAGGCTCGCTTTAGGTTCTGGATACATGGGGAGCCAAACAACCAAGGACCACATGGTGAGAGGTGTGGAGCCATAATGAACATTATCAACTATAAAAATTCGTGGTTTGACGGATATTGCCTAAGCAACAAGGAATGGTTATGTGAAATGAGACCCAGCTAGCTGTGGAGTGCATGAGGGAGGCTCGGACAAATCATCACGTGTGGAGAAAAGTTCACCTTCACAGCCGAATGCTTTGTTTGTTTGTTTGTTTATTAGCTCATCAGTATACATTGATCATAAACAACAAAGATTAGAACTTGTAATGTGGCATCACAGTTGTGAGAAAATGTAGACACAAAGTCAATGATGGATTCAGCATTCAACTCCTTTGATCTGATCTTAAATTATTACTGGTTGTTTTAGAAATCACATTTAATTACAATAAATTCTGTGATGATTGAGATGTGGGTAGTTTCTTTTTTAAAATTTTATATACATTTGTATAGACAACATAAATAAGCATATTAATTATATTATATTGGTTTCTCAGTACCACTCAGCATTAAACAAGGACATATGAACATTACTAAGGGTTTTCTCTGTGTATTGAGAGGTCAGTCATTGAAAAAAAAGGTATAGATACAGACACAGATAATTAATTTTGTTTGCACTAGAGCTAAGATTAAACCAATGACCTTTTGCACATACATTACAACAATAACTCATAAGATCAGAGTGGAGTGGAGGAAGTTCTCAAACATTTTAATTGAGTGAAAATAATGCATACATACATAAAATACAGAATACATAAAATTAAAAGCACCAAACTCACATTCCTACTTTAATTCAAATATAAGTAAAGCATTGAAAGTACAGTATTTGCAAGTGTAGCAATTGTTATAACTGAGCCTGGTTCACGTTGCCAGATCCTGGTACAGCATCCAAGAGCAGAGTGGTCAAAGTGATAAAAGATCTTTAAAGCAGCACCAATCGTATCTTGATCAACACTGAAAACACTTAGTCTTCAAAGAAGACACAAAGCACTGATGTGATATAAAGGTTGGTTACCAGGGTGCATGGTTGAGATGTGACTGGGCCAACAACTGTTGTTGCTCCGAATTCTTATCACAGAATCAGGAAGCTGTGGCTGAGAGAAAGTCACTCTTATGACATCTGAGCTACCGCCAAAAAAATGCATGTGAAACATTTTGTAAACATGGTGAAATATCCAACATCAGCAGAAACACACATTCCTCATTTTGTAGCAGGGTTGCCAGCTTCATGCAGCTCTCTTACAGGAGGTTCTGGCACAGTTGTGTAAAATGATTTGAGAAAAAGCAGCCTGTGTGATAACTGGCCTGAGAGAAGATTTACTTTCCACGAAAAAAAAAAAATCTATGGAACCAAAATTTCACATGACTCGAATCTAAAACCTTGATATCAACCCAATGACAAAGAGTATGACAGGATTGAAAATGAACTGTTCACTTCTCGCAGATATCTGTGATCTCAACAGTAAGTACGATATCTCCAGCAGTGCACTGAACAGATAAGTGATGAAATATAATACAGGAATGTTGAAATATCGTCATTCCTAAAAACACTGGGGCAAACCCATATTCACTCAAAATTCATATACTTTCATTATTTATTGTCAACTTAAGTTTAAGTATCAGTACATTTAGAGAAAATAATCCTGAATTTAAATGAATGTGTTGCATTATTGTCCAATTATCCAAGTCCATATAACGCAAGCCATCTGCAAGCCAACAGCTCTCACATTCAAAGCCACTGCACTTCTTGTGGATATAAAAGCAGCAGTGAATGGATAAACGGGCAGTTCCTGCAACACTGCAGTCATGGTGAGTCTGCAGAGAAGAGCAAACAACGGGGCAGACCAAGGTTTCAGCATAGGCTATGGCTTATTTGGACGAGGTAACATTTTTTATCAAGTTTTTGTACTTTTGATTTTGATTTAATTTATTCTTATCAGGCCTTAATGATGTAGATTTCACCGTGTCTGAATTGGTTTAATTTACAGTTCAAGATTATAATGAGGACCTTTTTGGAGGAAAGTCTTCTTGCTATAGAATTGTTCAGATGTTTTTTTTCAATTTATAGATACAATCACAATTCCAAAAGTTTCAAATACATTTTTATAATATTTGCATGTTTTGATAACAGTGGGAGATAAATAGGGAAATACTAGTTAAGAATCTTAAGTAATTACATTCCATTTCATTTTCCTGACTCACAGCTGGATCCACTTGTCCCAACATTCGACTGGTGATACTGTGTCTGGGACTTCTGAATGCTGTTCTGCTGATAGTTGCTGTTGTGATTGGGATAAACTGTGAGTATGACAGTTATCAAAACATTTTTTTTTCCATTTTTTGATGGAATTTCACTCTAAATACTGTGGAATTGTTATAGATTCAGAGATTTTAAAATCAGAATCAGAAATACTTTATTGGGTTTAATTACACTCGCTCCCACCAAGAATAGAACATTGTAAAGACCAGGACAAGAGCAATCAATAGAAATACAAAATCTAGCTAAAAGTATACATTAAACTGTGCATATACATGTACAATACAATCAAAGAAAAGTACTACTTTCATGATTCATTCATGATGGAACATTTTTTATATTCGCTCATAATTTTGTCAATTTGTCTCCCAGTGAAAAGCTCAGTTTCCACCAACAGTCATTTAGCAAAAAGACACTTGTCTGTGTTTCAACCTCTTCAGGTGCCAAAGTTAAAGGGAGCTCCTCTGAGGTGATCCACTCAGCTGCAACACAGCTCATCAGCGAGCTGAAGGATCTCAGGAGCAACCACAGCGACATGCTGGAGGCCACAGAGGAGGCCAAGGAGGAGTTAAGGAGTGCCATCAAAAACTACACACGTGTAAAGGCGACAACTGAGCAGCTTGCGGCCATCAATAAGGGTTATCAGAGACAGATAGAGACCCTACGATTGGAGAAGAAAAGTCTGCAGTCTAATATATCACTTTTAGGTGAGTTTGTTATAGCCCATAAAAAACACTCTGCAGGCTGTAAAAAACAGGAAATCATCTGACGTGAAATCTTTTTGCTCCCGCAAGAGGGAACCTGTGGTAGATGTCTCCCAAACTGGGCTCTTCACAACTCCTCCTGCTATTATTTTTCTTGCCTCAAATCCCCTTCTGTCAAAAAGACCTGGCATGAGAGCAGAGAGGACTGTATTAGTCGAGGAGCCGACCTGGTTGTGATTGACAACCAGAAGGAGCAGGTGAGCTGTAAACAAACAAGGAAGAGACAGGATGTAAAGAATATTAAAATGTTGACCATCAGACCCTTCAAAAACCGTTAAAATCTTTTTTCTACACACAGGAATTTGTGACTGAAGGCATCAAAAGTTTTTTCAGCCCCAGGGGCGGCTGGACGAGGGGATCGTGGATCGGCATCACTGACATAGAGAAAGAGGGGACATGGGTCTGGCTTAATAATGTCACTGAGGTGGAAAAACGGTGAGCGCTATTCACAGTACTCAACAGTATTGATGAAACAAACTAGACATCTTGTGTTTTTCAATGATTTCTCTAAGGTACTGGATGGATGGAGAACCAAACAACCACGGAGTTCAGGGAGAGAATTGTGTTTGTATTATTTACAGTTCCAAGAATCCCTGGAAAACCTGGTTTGATGCAAAATGCGATGAACATGAGGTACACTGGATATGTGAAATGCCATCAAAGTAGTCTCTCTACACATTAAGATGTGTGCTATGTCTCTGGGCATTTTGTTTTCATCTCTATACTCTTATACTGTTTAGATCTTTATATTTTCCTTGCGTTAACATTGCATGTTTACTTATAACTTGACTGATTCCAATCATGTTCTGCTCAAGATTATATTCTACCAGAATAAAACTATGTCAGAAGAGCAAAATATTGGGAAACAACATACTAACAATAGCAGGGCAACATATATATATATATATTGACAACATTAAAGAAGGGCTGCATGTGTAATATGATCCATGATACATTTCACCATGTTTCTGTAAGTTCAATAAATATATTATCTCCATGCTGCCAGTCTGAGTCTGAGGTTTGTTTTAAGTGCCTGACTGTGCATTTGTGGCTCTTACATGTCATGATTCGTGCATAGGTGCTAAAAGATGTAAGTGTTAGATTAGCTTTGGACTTCTGGAATCCTGTGCATGGGACTGATGCTGATCACTGCTGTTGACATAGAGTTAACTGTGCATGTGACAGTTGACAAAAAATATTTCAATTCCCTTTTCTGAGTAGTTTCACTTTAAATAACAAAGCAGAACTTACCCAACACATAGAACAGAAAGGTTCCTGGTTCAAAACCTGGTTAGTCTGGCTCTGTCTGTGTGGAGCTTGCAAGCGTGCCTATGTGGGTTATCTTGAGGCACTCCATCTTCCTCCCACTGTCCAAAGACATGCAGGTTGGAGTTGGGTTAAGTGGAGACGCTAAATTGACAGTAGGTATGTTGGCCTTGTGATACGCTGGCGACCTGTCCAGGGTGTACCCCGCCTCTTGCCCATAGCCAGTTGAGACTGGCTCCAGCTCCCCCTGCGATCCTCAAAGGAGCGATCAATAAAATGTAAGATGTGCGTATCACATTCTCTCTTTGTTTGTGTTGCCTTCATGAACTATAAAGAGCAAACTGCTGCATGTAGATCCTCACTGAGAAGAAGGAAGTGCATGATAAATATGAAATTGCATTCAAATAAGAAGCGCTGCATAAAAGTAACAATATTCAGCATGACAGCAGGGAACAATTTTAGGAATTCAACACATTAACTTGAACAGGGACATGAGGAAAGGGTTTATGAGTTCCATACTATAGCCTTTAATCTGATGTAATCTTAGTGACATACATACTCACTGCCTGGATGTTTTGGGATTACTGGAGAAATGTACAAATATGAAAACTGTATTAAACCGGAGCCTCGTGCTGTGTTAATAAAATGTTACGTTATTCTATAAGGTAATTTGATTCAATAAAAATCAATTTAGCAACAAGTATGTCAGCAAGATGTAAGATGAATTAATGAAGTTCTTATAACTGGATTTCGAAACTGAGACCTGAGGCCTTAAAACCATGAAAGAAACCATAACCCACCTTAGAACCTTCATCATGTACATTATATATTCACATTCCCCCAAAGAATGACAGTTAATCAAATTACTACAAACTGAGGAGAGGTTTGTTGAAGAGATTCAGTATTATTCAGTACAACGTCTACTTTGGTTTTTCCCATAGATTATTTCACAATAAAAAATTATATCCTTCATCAAGTTTCACTTCTCTCATTGCATAACATCGAGTTCAAAACAATTTAATATTGATGAACTCAGCATTGGCAGCATCCTGACAAAATCTCCCTCCCAAAGGACAGTTCTCGTTTACGCTGTCAGGATGGAGGTGATAGAAAACTCGGGCCGTGAATTCGATTGCGAATTCGAGGCACCGATTTATCAAGAGGACATGCATGATGAGGACGAATGTCCCCCTCAACCCAATTCAAATGAAAATAGGCAACAAGGTAGAGTAAGTTATTATTGACATAAAGATTTTTCTGATTCTATATGAATATAAATATATACAACATGTTGAAATTAAAAATGTGGTGAATGGTTTGAATAGTTCTAACAGTTTATTACTATAATTAGTCTAAATGATAACGTAAGTATGGAATCTCAAAATGAATGTTTTTAGAATCACTTTGATGATAGTGTATTGTTAGTATAGAGTTTTTGGATTTATGAATTGCATTCATTATCTCTGTCTAGTGTTTATGTTCAACATGACACCTGGAAGACATGACAGACTGGCTGCACTGAGCCTGGTGATACTCGCTGCTGTTCTACTGATAGTTGATATCAGCCTTGGAGAGCACTGTGAGTCAGTGTTTGTGAATCTTTTGTATGTTGTGTATTTGTCAGATCTGAGAAGCAAAAAAGAGAAAAGGTTTTCTATTAAAACTAATAATATTATAATAAATAATAATCTTACTCCTGTTAAATAACTCATCAATTAATCAAATAATCTTAGCAAGCCAACTTTTTGAACAGTTCTGCTTGAAAAAATACTTTGATTGGCCCATTTAAATAATTGGCAAGTTTCCTGGTGATCAACTAATTAATTGATGAACAAATTGTTTTCTACTCTACCTTTGATGAAACAGAAATATAGACTTTTCTAATGATTGATATATTATATAGTGTATGAATAAATATACATTAGTCAACTTGATAACTTTCACAAGGGGTTGTTTGTGTGTGTGTGTGTGTGTGTGTGTGTGTGTGTGTGATATAACTTGTTCAAAATAACTAAACAATGTTACACATGGACCGATTTTTATCAATATCAGTGTGAAGATTATTTGGTATATCACCAGATGATACATTTTTGGAGGACATCTACAATAGAGAACTGTATGCTTGCACAGTTAAAGCTGTATCTACCAATTTTATTCTGAACCCTGCCCACCTACTTAATTCAGCAAAATGTTTATGGATGTATTTAACAGCCACTAATGTGGGTATAGGGAGAGAATGGGAGAGTGAAGCAAAGATTCCATTCAGTTTCAACTATTCAAAATAAACTGTGGATTACGCAATTTGGTCAGCAGCTATAATATGGGGCTCAACAGCACAAATTCTCTATCTGCACACACAGCTCTCTGTCTTATATGGGAAGGGGTCTGGCAGAGACGGGATCGCAGAATTGACAAATTGTTAAAGGTGCTAGTTTTTAGGGGACAACGCCCTCCCCCTAAAGCCTTTATATAGGTTATTAAAACTAAACACCTAGGGACAGGGTGATCTGCTCATGTGCCCATGCTTGAACTTTTAGCCCATGACATTTATAGGATTTAAAATTTTAATAATCAAATTCTAATAATCTCCTGTGGTGTTTTAGCTGAGTTTTTGCCAAAGTCCATCATGGAGAAAAATGAGAGAGAGCAATGGAAAAAAGAGAATGAAACACTTTTAACACATCTTGTCTTCAACACTTCCAGACAGCAACCTTAAAGATACCCACCTCACAGCTGATGATGCAGAACGCATTGAAATCGAGTTGAAGGGACTTCACGATACTTACAAGACTGCGATCAAGACCATGAAGGACACCAGGCACGAGCTGGACAAAGAGATGACTCGTCAGACACCATCCAACTGGGAGCTTGAACACCAGCAAAAAAGAAAGAGTGACAATGAGGAACAGATTGATCAAATGACAGTGGCCATCGCATCAATGAAATTCCAGTTACCAATTCTTCGTGAGCTGCTTCTTTTTTCGTTGCTAATATTGTATATCTTCAATAATATCTTTTTTTGTTTGTTTTTTGCGTTTATATGTTAGAGTTATTCACTGTTATTTTCTCTGGAAACTGCAGGTGAGAGCTGCAGACTCTGTCCGACCGGATGGGTTTTGATGAACTCAGTATGTTATTACTTTGCCTTCTCCAACGTTGATGGAACCAAAACCTGGAAAAGAGCCAGAAATTTCTGCCAGGATGATGGTGGCGATCTTGTGATCATGGACAGCAAAGACAAAGTGGTTCGTTATTATTTCTTTGCAAATATAAAAATGACAATAAGAAAGAAATATATGTTTCTTGTAAATTCTGTTTATGTTTCTCATTTGTTAGAATTTAACTGTAAATGCCCTGCGGAATTATTACACGGACTCTACATCCCCCAGTTCCTTCTGGATTGGACTGAATTATATCCACGAGGAAGAGACTTGGAAATGGTTGAATGGAACATCACTGGCTGAAGGGTAAATGTTAAATATGTTAAATAAATAGTAAAACATTGTGGGATATTTAAAATATAACGTCCCACAGCTGGGTTTATTTCTGGAAGCCACCAGCCAATTCCTACTACTTGATATTGTTCTCCTGCATGATTGGTTGGCAGAAGAAAGGCTTGTATTTTAACTGCTAGACCTTAAACACACACAACATAATGAATCTGAACTGTCTGTTGCCACAAAATAGCCCTAAAAGAAATATTATCAAGTTGTTTTACTACAGATGATTGGCCACCAAGAAGACTGGGAAAAACTAAAAGCATCAGAGTGGAGATGCCCACCCTACATACATGTTGTATATATCCCAATCAGGCAGTGCTAACTTTTTTATATTGTTATAATGCCATTTTCTAATGACATCATCAAGATGCTGCAAACGTTCATGCACAAATGACAGAATGTTCTGTGCTTGTGGACACAAAGCAAATACAATGGGCTTTATTTTCACATTTTAAGTGTATCATTTAAAGCGTGTGGCCCCCGCTTATGAAGGTGCATGTTACTATGTTAATAATGCATCCATAAAATAACGGTGAAATAATCACCGCTGACGTCAGTTGGTCTAAAGCACATTCACTTACCACTGTCTCACATAACAATTTGCCAACCTTGACCTGAGCTCATTCTAAGAGGTGGGGTCAGGACCGCTGGGTGGAAAATGAGATGAAACTAGCAAAGAGAAACTGTGCAAGGCTCGGCACCACTTTGCACCAGGTGTCAGATTCGGCCCTGTGCCTCTGTGGACTAACCTATGGTTTTCTGCAGATACTGGGATGATGGCGAGCCAACTGTTTCCGGCACGGATGCCTGTGCAAATGTGTATCCCAAACAAAACTTCTTCAAGAGTTGGAGCAGCACTTTATGTAACGAAAAAAAGAAATGGATTTGTGAAAAAGCACCAATCATTATCAGTTAAAAGTGTGTTTATGTTGGACTGGCATGCAAGGTTAAATTTTTGCATAAAAGGTTAACTCCACTTTTACTGACATCTTCTGTCTCTGTAACAGTCTTTATCAAATCACTGCTTTGGTCATGCACAATGATTGAAGTACTCAGGGCCCCGGAACCAATGGGGGTCATGTCCTTAAGATTTATCAGCATTATCCTTTTTAAGGTGTTGAGCACCTTTATTTTAAAATAAAAGTTATTTTGAGACTGTCACGTGGTTATGAAATTGTTTCAATGTTTTGTAAATCATGTGATGTCATAACGTATCATGGCCTTAATTGTGCAAAGACTGTATCTGACTCTTCTTTTCCTGGTAACATGTCAGAATAATGATTACAATTTCAAAGTGATATGTGCTGTGTGGTGGTAGCATGTCCTTGGGCACATGTGGAGCACAATTTGCATGTACGGGTAGCGGCCTGTGGCAAGACTGATATTTTACTGTCATCTAACTCTTATCCAGATACACAAATGCATTCTGACCAGGGTTCAAACACACACACACACACACACACACAGATAGACGGCTTATCACTGGAACAAGCAGGAGACAAACAGATCAATCGTGACCACTTTCATCAGTTAACCGGAGAACTCACAGTCGTGGTCAGAACCAGAGGAGGAAATGTCACAGGACGAAAATATTTCTCAACATGTCGGCACAGACGAATATTGGCGCTTTCACCGTCAAGGATCTGGACAAGGTACATCTCACTTTAAGATCAAATCTTCTGACCCAGTCTATGTTTGAATTCTTTTAAACCACAGTGTTGTTTACTCTCTGAAACTGAGCCTGCAGTATAACGTCAGCTCATTCGGTGACTTAGATTTTAAATGTAATATTTGTTGTATTGTTATATTGTCCTGTAACCTCTCAGAAGATTAAACGTCACTGCGATAATGCACAGTGAGGGTTACTTCTGAAGACAGGTATTTTTCAACATTTTAATTCAGAGCAACATTTTCCAAGGTGCGTTTACAAAGGGAGGTGGATCTGTGTTTCCACCGCACCGACTGGTTGTGCTGAGTCTGGGTCTGCTGAACGCTCTTCTGATTATTGCTGCTGTTGTCATCGGGATTTATTGTAAGTATGAGATTCCACAAGGGAATCCATAATTTGCATCGTACAAAATCAAAATATGAATGTGTAGGACTGTATAAATTATATCTGCAGTTTCTTTTCTTGAGTATCTTAGTTTAATATAGTGCAGAGGTATTTATTTAATTATGTATTTCTATATCTCTACATTTATTCATTTATTTATTCATATATATTTGTAATGTATCTCACATTTATTTTTTCATTATCTTTTTTTGTCTATACTTCTGTCATTTATTTTTGCACTTAAGTGGTGAGTTGTTGTTGGACCTCTGTGCTAACCATGGTGTTGACCATAACAAAGGTCTTTAAGGTTCAGTGTGTAATATTGAATATAAAAGAATCCTAGCGATGTTTACACTAGTATGTTTAACATGCAAGTTGCTCAAAAGTGTACTTTGTACCAGATCACATTTGGCCTCAGATTTATGATGGACTATGAGGTCACATCATCAGACATACCTTGAATTCACACCAGTTTTCCCCACAGTTCTTTTGTTATCACACATTTTTCCTGCCTCAGGTGCCAAAGCCAAAGATCTCCAGGTTCCCTACTCTGCTGTTACGCCCTTTATTGTTGAGCTGAACTATCTCAAGAGCAACCACAGTGAAATGATCAGAGGCAGATTGGAGTTCCAGGCAACTTTACTAAGAGAACGCGCCATACAACCGCATCTGGTGCTGGCAGTGAAGCAGAAGAAGACGGTCATCGATGTCCTGCAGAGACAGATTGAGACTCTAGAGACAGAGAAGACACATCTAAAGAACAACAGAACTACTTTAGGTAAGGCAGGCAGTCAACTGTCCTGGAAAAAAGAAAATGTCAAGAGCGCAAGAGCACACTATCCAGTTAATGCATTTTATATCACTAATAGGATTTTTAGATAAGATCTACAAATTACCAATAACAAGACATTTTCCACTTCTTTCAATCTTTTGTTGCAACAGAGGAAAGCTGTGACAGGTGCCCACCAAGATGGATTCTTCTTAAATCATCCTGCTATTATTTTTCTCAACCCGAGTCCACAAGCAAGAAGAACTGGCCTGATAGCAGAGCATACTGTATGAGCCGAGGGAGCGATCTGGTTGTGATCAATAACTTGGAGGAGCAGGTGGGGCGAATACAGAAAAGAAAATTAAATTACTTACATCGCTCTTACTGATTCATGGGCGGTAAGACAGTGGGAATTTGTGCCGTCACAAATCTCTAAGAACCAATGAGAATGATGAGAGGTCAATAAGTCATCCCGCCCAAATCAACGACCTCAACAGGAGAACCCTTGTATGTAAAGATGGACAACGTGTCAGCTCCCAAAAGCGAAGCCAAAACATCTTGTTGGGCCCGAGTGGCTGGCTCTACTATCGGTCATAAACCCAATCTCCTCCATGTTAGTGGTTAGGACATGGGCCCAACAAGAAAGCCAATGTCCCCACCGATTAATTTTTTTCCTTGTAATTATCGCTAATTTTACTGTAAGTTTGGTTTAGAGTTAAATTAGATAGAACGGTATGAAATGTATGATTGGCAGCTGAGATTGACTCACAAATAGCTGAGTGTGTATATTGGTGGGACCTTGCTACCGTGGCTCCACACCATGATCAAGTGTGCAGGCACCTAATGCTGTCATCCCTGCAACATGGCCGCTTTTGTATCCTGGATATTTTGGCTTCATTCCTGGATAGTAGGAGGAAGTGGAGACACGTCGTCCATCTTCAGAAACACTCAATGGTCAAAACGGAGGGTCCTGAGGTCTAAGAAAACACCAGGCGTGCAGAGGCTTAAAAGTTTCAGAAAAATTGGTTTTATATTATAAGTAATTCTCTGAGATTAAAGTTGCACAAACAATGTTCTTAACAATATTATTATTATATCAATATGGAAATTTGTAGTGGGTTTTAGCTGATTGTTACACTGGCCCTTAAATGTACAGGCTTAGTTCACAGTCATGTAATCAGAGAGGTACAAGAGAGTGAATATTAGATTTACATTTGTAGTCAGAAACACAACTCAACACAAATATTAATATTGCTCAATAATTGATCCCAATTTCTGGTCGCCTCACAGGCTGAGGACATAAATCTGAGGACCTCTGGTGGACACCTAGGGGCAAAGCAGGTCTGAGGAGATGGACAGAGAGAGATCAGATGAGCAGACTGAGACAGATCTATACTAGAATGGCACTCAGTTGAGCTCATACCTCCGCCAAGGCCCAAAATTTCACAGACACAATAATCCTCCAAAAGTCCTCACCAAAATTGAACGGGTTCTCTCGAGACACATACTGCGTCCTGCCTTCAAGTATTTGTCCATCCAGTAGTTTTTGTGTAATCTTGCTTACAAACAGACAAGGCTGAAACATAACCTCTTTGTGTTCCTTCAGATTCTTGTGAATGAAAACCTCCCACAGCTGAGCACGAGAAACAATATATGGTGGCTGAACAGCTTCTGGATGGGCCTCACTGATGTAGTGGCACACGGGACCTGGGTGTGGGTCAACAATGCGACTGAGGTGGAGACGATGTAAGTACGTCACAGACTGAAGTTTGAATTTCAAACATTGTGACGAACAAATAAAAGGGAACAATGACTTTTGATTTGTCCCAGGTACTGGAAAGATGGACAGCCCAACAACAGAGGAGATCAGAGTGGGAACTGTGCTGCTACTTATCATGGTAGTGACACCAGGAGGACATGGTTTAATGGAAACTGTCACGACCTAGATCTTCACTGGATTTGTGAGATGGAGCCAAAGTAAACGACATGTCCCTCAAGAGGAAATCACGATTCTAGAATAAATTGTTTGTATGTTTGTAAAACCATTACAATAAACAATCTGCAGCTTGATACAGGAGTATCCATGTTGTGTGCACTACTGGTGTACAGTATACAGCACACACGCACATATTTCTCTATAGTTGTGGTGACACTCATTGACATTATGTATTCCCTCGGCCCTTATCCAAACTTTAACTATCACAACTAAATGCCTGACCTTAGGGTCTTACAGGGGGACCCTTACAGTAACCCTAAGCTAAACCTATTTCTGACCCCAACCAAATACCAAGTCTTAACTTTCAATAAGCACTGTGACGTTTTGAGGAAATGCCAAAATGTCCCTACAATGGTGATTTTGACTAAAGCCCGGGCCAATGTCGATATTAGGGAGTAAAAATCTTCTGATACCAATATACATTAATTAAAGTCGTTATAAAACCCTTATTATGACATCCATCTATCCATTATCTATAGCGCGTATTCTTTATCTTGTATATATATATATATATAAAACATTAAATTTAAAAAAATGCAAATAAAGCATAATATATAGAATTTGAATTTAGAAAATAGACACATTTTTTTACATGAAATGTAAAAATGAATGTTCAACTTTTCTGCATTGTTCACTCAGTAATAAAAAGAAGTAACCAAACAGTGATACCAATGTTGAAATGTTCACAACAGATGATTTTTATTGGTCCAACGATAAATCGGTTGTGCTCGTGTTAGGGAGTGTTTTGATATCTTTAGGATTGTGCATGAGAAACATTAAAGAATTGGAATGCATTAGATAAGGATGGTTAATGTTCTGCTGGGAGTTACCATCCTGTCTCTGGCACTGGGATGAGAGGAATCTTGAGACAGAAGCTTTTTCATTTGTCTGTTGGCGTGATCATTGGACCAAGAGTCTTCTCTGTTGACAGATCAATGTTGTAATGAACTCAAATATTCAAGTGTGAACAACTGACGCTCAGTATTTTATTCACCACTGTGAGCACCAATTTCAAATCCAGCTGTCTTTCACCAACCGTCTGTGCAGAGGGTTTTTCTTCCATCATCTAGTTTGAAGAGCCATAGAAAGACTTGCACACACTGGCTCACAGTAGCATTTCATTAACTTGTTGCTTTCCTGGAAGTCCATACCCAGAACCGAGAAATAGAACTGTGAAGAATAAAGCAGCGGATGAGTTATTTCTGGTGACCAATGGTGAGTGAAATGATTCCTTTTTGACTCAGTTAAACTAAAGGATTAAGATTAATGTTTAAAAAACTTCATCCAGATCAAATCAGCTTCTCCAATTATTTGCACTATCTGTAAATATTTTACAAATGAACTTCAGTTTCTGTTTGTAATGTTGCGTGCGTGCGTGCACACACACACACACAGAGGGCAATGTCCGAACAAATAATCCCAGTCAGACTGTTTTTATCACTTCACTTCTCTTCTCTTCGTCAAAATGGCAGACAAAGAAAATTCAAGCTCTTTTGTTGCCACATTTGACAAACTGATCTCTGACGATGACTCCGGCACAGAAGAGAACACTTTCTACTCGAGCCAAGAGAAACAGCAAGGTAGAGTAAATGAAAAGTTAAATAACGTCTTGGTGCATCAACAAGAACCTGTGATATTAGTGCGATAGTCGTAAAATAGGGCTGGAAACCCATTTCTATGTCATTCTTTGTGTGTCCTTGTTCTGTCTGTAAGCGATAAAGTCCTCCACCTTAGTCATCTGTCTGCATATGTCTGATATCGATCCACCACTCCTCTGTGTAGTGTCCATGTCCATGCCGAGGCCCGAATCCATTTGGAATCATTACAGGCTGCTCACAGTGATCCTGGCAGTGCTCGCTGTCATTCTACTGGCCATTGACATCGGCCTGGGAGTCTATTGTAAGTCACCTCTCACTGGCTTTGTTTCAATCTGCACCAACAGGAAACAGCACCGACACACCAAAATACTCCATGTTCACCTGCGATAGTCACTGTCTGACTATCGCAGGTGAACATGGAATATTTCGCAGCCACACATTTTCCCACGTTAGAGCTGAATGTTGATTTTGTTCAGTGTCTGCTCACAGTTGTTGGCCTAAATAAATCCTGGTTACTTTTGACTTGTTTGAAGGTTGAAATTAAAATACAGACATCAAGCATGAAGAGATGAGGATGAACCTCGATGATTAAATCTATATAGAAAAACATACCTGTTATTGTATAAATGTTTTTTAATTTTCTTTTTTCTACTCCTGCGATCACCTTTGTCATTTATACTGCACAGCAGGTCAGCATAAGTGGTAAGAAGATGTTTATAATTCTTTTCAAATAAAACTTCAGTAACGTTATGTCCTCACCACCTCCAGACAACCAACTCACTGGTGGGCAGCAAACAATAACAGACATCAACAGGGAGGTGGCCAAACTGCAGGCTAGTTACAACGCTGCCATCCAAAGCAGGATGGAAGTCAAGAAGCAGCTGGACAGAGAACTCAGTGAGCGGCAGCAAATCAAGTGGGAGTTAGAACATCAGAGCAGAAGATCCAAAGACTACGAAAAGCAGATTGTCAGAATTCAAGATGAAATCTCAGGGTTGAAATCCCACATACCACTACTCAGTGAGAGCTTTTCTGTTTTTATTTATCAGTTTATCAAATTCCGAATCATTTGCAATTTACATAACACACCATGTTGTCATTTCCAGACAAGGGTTGCAGACACTGTATCCCGGGGTGGACGTTCATGAACCATAAATGTTACTACATTGCTTTCTCTGAAACCCATAAACGTAGATCGTGGAATGACGCCAGACAGTTCTGCAAAAAGTGGGGAAGCGACTTGGCAGTGATAGACACTGTGGAAAAAACCGTAAGACTCGACATTTACATGACACGTTGATATCTCTGGGCGAAACCTGGATTTCCATGTTTGTAACAATAATTTTTACTACACTGTATATTTTCTTTTTTGGGCAGTAAAACAGCACTGTGTTGCATGGGTCAAAAGCCAAATAAATTAATGTGTGTGTATCTCTGGTGTTGTCAGGTGTCTATAACTAACTTGGTAAATAGTTATCACGATCCCTCGAGATCCATTGCTATGAGTGGCTTCTGGATTGGACTGAGAGATGTGGAGGAGGAGAACACTTGGAAATGGCTGGATGGAAGAGGAATTCTTGAGTCGTAAGTTGTTGAAAATTGTCATTGTCAGTGTTAGAAATGGTTGTGAGAGCACATTTATGTATTTATACAATGCAAAATGAATAAATGATCAATAATGTGTTTGAATACAAAGTCAGCAGATATTACGGCTCAATGACCGACAATTTGTTTTTCAGGTACTGGAACGACGGCGAGCCCAATAATGTGAACAATGAGGATTGTGCAGCTACGTATCCCAGGGAAAACCCCTTTAAGGCCTGGAACGACGCTCCATGCAGTTACAACCTCAAATGGATTTGTGAAATGGAACCACTGGCCACAAGTTAATGCAATTTTTTTTTCAAGGTTTAATTCAAGTGTAATTGTTTGAAAGAACAACTAACTGCACCTTCAAGATTTTCTAACATCTTCCAAATTATTCCTTTTATTGTCACATCAATATTTTGCTGAGAATACAAAAAATAGCAAGACGGTTATGAAATATACACCTGAGTTAAGAAATGAACTATAAAATTTTACTGTTATAAATACAATTTTGACTTTATCTATGTACACGTGTGTTATTACTATACAGATCTGTGCACAGGTTCGTGGATGAAATGAACAAACATGATAAAATGACCCACTATCTCCAACAGTGACTACAATCAGTTTAACTATACCATAGGTAAAACGTACAAACTGTATGTACCATTTAATAAAGAAACAATAACAAAAACTAATGCTCATTTGTTGATTTCCATGTCTGACTATCCTGCCAAACCTTTTAGTATCTTAATGACTTTGTGTGTGTGAAGCACAGTGTCTCTGGTCTCACACCTCTCTCATTAAGCCTGCTGGCCACATGACGCTCAGACCACCGCAAAGTGCTGCCGAAGTTGCTTGAGAAGCTGCTGAGTGTCAACGTGCTCAGGAAAAGCATCCTCAGACCTTTGAGCTGCGGTGTAGCTGCTCTGAAGGTCTCCAATCTGCACACAGACAAAAATATCACTTCATCATAACGTTTACTGTCTCTCCAACCACTGCACAGTGTAGACAGAGGAATAGACATAAATACCTTTTCAGAAAGAATGGAGAGATTGAAGTGAGGCTCGTACATGTGAGGGGCCAGCGATGCAGCTGTCTGTAGGAAGGCTTTAGACTGGATTGAAGATAGGACAATTATTTCAATCGTCAACAGCACAATATTTAATGACAATTGAATTCAAAGGAGTTATGGACTAGTTTTTCAACTTTTAATTTATTTAATTTCTTTTAAATTTCTCCTAGCAGTTTGTGTCTGCAGAGCTCGCATCCACCACCTCTATACCAGATGACACGTTTTACATCACTTGGCGGCACTGATCTGGCTTGAATTAGGGCCAGCACAAAATGTTGCTATCGCACTAGCTCATTGACAGTTTAGGTTCAGCTAAAAGAAGAAGAAAAGCTGTTTGCTGTTGTTAACAAATTAAAAAATGAACCACAGGTATTTTTAAATAGTCTGACACCCAAACATCCCTTCACACTAATAGTATTATTGCACTGGCACAAAGCTACATGCTACACTCAGCCTAAAGAGCTAACACACAGTCTGTGCTGCAATAGAAAAACCACAGTGTCATATAATACTGTTTATCTCATAATATCTTGTCTCATACCATGATGTTAATACCATGCACATTTATCATCCAGCTCTTTGGAATATTTAAAAAAATAATCAGTAGTGTATTTGAGAAATATCTTCTGGTAAAACAGACTACATTAATGCTGGTTTAAAATGAATAATAACAACAGTTTAATGACCCTATCATAATGGCCTGTGTAACACCACATTAGTGTTAAAATGTCTAAAGCAACATGATCTCATACCTCATATTTCAACAGAGGAATAAAAACTGTTTATGACTGCAAGCTATGACTTCACCTGCTCAATACGACCTTTGCGTAGCTCCAGCACAGCCAAGTTGTTGTAGGCCTCAGCGTGGTCATTGTTAAAAGCCAGAGCCAGTTTAAAACACTGATAGGCCAGTGTCAAGTCTCCTATGCCCTGTAAGAAAAGAGCACACACACTTTTTATTAGCTTCTACCTGAATGTTGGGAGCTTGTTTTGATAACAAGAAAGTCGTGTTTTCTGTTGGTTGGTCTGTTTGTCAGCAGGATTACATGGAAATTACAGAATGGCTGGGACACAGGCTACAAACGAACTTGTTAAATTTTGTTGTGCATCTGGACAAAGAGGCGAATCCAGGAATTTTGCACCATACTGAGTGCCATTCTAGTTTTAGTTCTAGTTTTTTTTGGGTATTGCTAACTCACCACAGCTACATGTCCTATGTTGTACCAAACATCAGCCTGCTCCTCATCATTGTCCACCAGGGCCAGAGCTCTCTCAAAGGACGACAGAGTCATATCGTACTGCTGTGCGTAGAAGCAGCACAGGCCCAGGTTGTTGTACAGCTGGCAGTTATACACCCCCATCTGGAGCAGCCGTCTAATAAAGAGGGAAGCATAGTGAATCACAGATGGGATACAGCTCCTCATTACCTATACTGTAACAATGCATGACACACATTATACATAAAAGTTACACTGACCTGTAGAACCGCAGGGCGATCTCTGGCTGGTCAGTGTAGAAGTGATTGCTGCCTATACAGGCTATAGCCTCCACGTGAGTGTTGTCCTGCTTCAGCACGTCTTTGTAGTACTCTGTGGCTGAGGAAATGTTGTTCATCTCCTGTGAGAATATCACACTTTATTTATTCATTTCTTTCTTTGGGCAGTTGTGTCTTGACGTAGGAGCTAGGGGGGTGTATTGCAATGACCGTGGTGACATTCTGTACCTCATGAATCCGAGCGATTCCTGTTAAAAGGGTGACCTCACCAGGGAAGTGGTCGAGGCCTTGCTTGAAAAGGTTTAGTGCTGTTATTGGTTGATCAAGGCGCTGGTAAACCTGAGAGAAAACACACACAAGGTTTTCCTTTTCATTCATCAATAAGTAAGAAGGGATATTTTTCTAATGCAGCAACTTGTGAAGCATGGCTCCAATATCTCCATTACTACCTTTGCCAGATAGAGATATGTGTCCACCACCTCTTGGTGGTTGAGAGCTGAACGAAACTGTTTTTCTGCTTCTCGATATAGACCAAGCCTGCAGAGGTCAAAAACATCACACATGACCAAGATTAAGAAGAGGACTTTTACAAATGTCAGAAATGCTGAGCTTAAACTTAAACTTGCCTGTAGTAACATTTTCCCAGCTGAACTTTCCACCACCAGTCTTTGAACTGCGCATGTTCAGTAGCTTGCGCAGCCAGATCGAGAGCCTGGTGAAGAAATATTACATCTTTGTTTGGTGCATGACAATGACCACGAATTCTCTTTGTGCCGTGAATTTAAGCACCACTTACATTTTTCACATCGTTTTCATGATGGAAGATGTACTCAAACAGGGTCTGAGGAGGGAAATGATGGTGACTTCATATGTGAGAAAATGTAATGCTCTTGATAAAAAAAAAAATATATTTTTGCAGTTTACACTCTCAGTCTTACCCTGGACAAGTTGGGCTTTTGGGAATACTTGGCCAGATTTAGTCTTGACAAGTTAATAAATGGTCCCTCTGGATTGGTCAGCATTGAAGCCTGTCGGGCAACATATCAAGCTAAATGATACAGGTGTTTTTCATAGCCAGTACAATGTATAACACAATGAAAAAAAGTTTTCATAATCTGTATGAAAACACCAGTGTGAAGACAATGGGAATATATTAATCATAATACAACCACAAGCAAAATTCCCGCCAGGGTTACTCACCGTTCCTAGACGGATGAATCTACCAGAAGCACTCGTGACAGGCCGAGCAGTGCTTGCAGTGCGGGGAGTTTTGATGGCCTGCTCCATTGTCCCAGGACGCCCTGACTGTGTGCTGGGTCTCACAAACCCTGTGATGGGACGTCCTGCTTGTGTCATAGGCCTTGAATCCAAAAAAAGGAAAAAAAGAATCTGATTAAGCATCTTTTACCTTGTTGCACATTTCAAAGCAACATTTCAAGCAGTCAGTACCTGACAGCTGGTGTGGGCCCCCCGCCTTGACTTGTTCCCGGGAGCCTCAGTGATGTCCCAGGGCCTAGAAGAAGGGACGGGTATTATCAAGCTTGCATATTTAACCATTGAATATTAATTTGCTCAATAAGAGAAACAGCCGAAGAGTCTAAACCTACGTGCAACTTGAGCTATTGAGCTCTCATCCAGCATCATCTCAGCAATGCCCTCCTGGTCGACCTCAACTTCATCTATGTATACCATCTCTGTCAGAGCACGAGTTTTCAAGCCCCATGCAGCCTGCAACACACACACACACAAAGTTAAATCGTGTATAGATTAGGGTTAGGGTGTCACATCTTCCAGGTAACCATGTCACAGTCAGGACCCATGTTGAACTATCTACAGGACAGGGGGTGTAAACAGATGACAGAGAGGAACAGTCAGCAGTGAAGTTACCTCTGAGATAAACAAGGATGAGTCCTTTAGACAGCATGCAGCAATGAGGACGGATGTGAATAAAAGTGAGAGAAGAGAATAAAAAGAAAATAAGACATGAGGCCGAAGAAATCAAAGGTAAAGTGCAGAGTGTGTTGCAGCAGTAAATATAGATATACATCATGACGTAAAGTCAACAATATCTCAGGTAAATCGTGGTTAACCGCAGGGATTAATGAGATTATGGTCCAGTTGCTACAGGTTGCTAGTGTTAGCAAGTTAGCAGGCTTTTCCTTGACAGATAATCGCTAGCATGCTAGGCTAACCGGGCTAGCTGCAGCACGGTACCTGGTCGTATGGGTTGTCTTGTAATATTTTGCTACAGATGTCCGAACACTGTTGGAGTTTCCGCCTCCTGGAATAGCTCCAGGCCAGAAACAGCGGGTCCATCGTCACCTCCATGGCGGAAATAGAGAGACACAGGTTCGGAGATGAAGGGTTAGCAGAGAGAGCAGTAAAGACGGTGAAGCTTCCTCTGTCGCTCGGCAACAGCGGAGGGGGCGGGGCTTCACCCACGTAGTTTCCTGTAAGTAAATGAGGAAAAGATAAAATAAATGGTTTAACAAAGCAACTGTCACAGAACAAAGTGTCACAGAACATACAAATTACAGCATGCATACATATAAATGCATATAAAAATAGAGTATAAAAGATAGTATAATGTGATATCTTATGACATTCTTTAAATAAATGAATAGAAAGAACACACCAGACATATAATAATTGACATATATGGAATTTTATCAATAATAATATGTGTTGGTCAGATCTTTACCTTCAAGCAGTGAATATCAAAAAGGGGAAAGGGATGTGATTTAAAAAGCTTAGACAATTAAAAGTAATACAGTAATATCTTCAATTTTACATTAAAAAAGAAAAGAAGAAAAAAATGAGTAAGTAACTATTTGTTTAATTTTTTTAAATTTATATAATAGAATGCTGGTTTGGATTGGATAATAACTGTGAAATTAGTTTGGTGTAAAACTCTTCTTCGTGTTGTTATCTTCCAAGAACAAATAGACACATACTGCCTATCCTGTGAAGTGTTAGTTGTAAGTGAATATCATTGGTGTTTATATAGATTATGTGATTAATGAAATAAATTATAAAGAATAATAATGAAAACTAAATATAGACTTAATTGTATTTAACAGAAATAATAGACTAATACTGGAGCCCATATGCAAGCTAAACTCTATTGAAGATATTTTGAATGAATTGAATTAAGTATTTACAAATGAGACAAAAAAGTCTCACTACTTTTCTCTCCTTCCCTGTCGTCCTCTCTTCCATAATTTTCCTACCCTGCACCTACAGTGCATTCACTCATGGATGTGATTATTTTATTCTAATTACTTTAGGTTTGCTTACAGTCTGAAATGTGGGTATATTTATTACAAAAACATAAATATAATTCATAACCAAATATGTCAAATTGCATTTGGTGCAAAGATGGTAGGCTTTTACTTCTTGTTAATTATAGGAGGTTAAAAAACTAAATCATCCAACGTTATTGTGGCTTTTTAAGGTCAGCTTGTAAGTTCCATTATATTGAATATTTAATTCATATTGATTACCTTTTATTTTTATTCATTCATTTATTGCCTTTCTTGTTTAGATAAGTGCTCTACAGATACAGTGATTTTTATTACAAATAAATATGGGCTGTTTGATTGGTTTGTAGATCGAAGTTGTCTTCTCTCTCATCATTATTGTGGTATCTGATAAATAAATAAGAAAACAGCACTTTTGTGAATCTGCTCTTCAGCTCTTTATATACAGTCTATGGTCGTGACCTGACGAGCTCGTCCTCCCCTCTCCTCGCCCTGCTCGGCTGAAGGATCTGATTGGACGCCAGGCTGTTCCGTCACGGCGGTGGGCGGGGCTCGGGGACTCAGAGTGCAGCTCCATCTTTGCAGGATTTGACAGCAGCTCTGACCTGGAGCCGAGGAGCGCGAAGAAGAAGAGGCGAGTAGACCTTTCTTTTCCTGCCCCACAATGAAGCCAGCATCTTAGAAACCTGTGTCTGCAGCGGAGACAGGAGGAGGGCTTCATTTCACCACACAGAGACACCGCTGGTTCACACGACCCCCAGAAAATGCCTCATTTCAGCGCTCTCTCCGGACCGGTGGAGACCCGGAGGGACTGATGGGACACGCGGGCTGTGACTAAATCCCCTCTGGTGAATGATAGTGTTTCAGATAGCCTACGTGACAGCGACACACACACACACACACACACACACGCACACGGAAGCGCGGACATGGCTGACAGGACTGCTCCCAACTGCCACCTGAGACTGGAGTGGGTGTACGGATACCGGGGACACCAGTGCCGCAACAACCTGTATTACACCGCCGCCAAGGAGATAGTCTATTTCGTCGCCGGTGTGGGAGTTGTGTACAACACCCGCGAACACAAGCAGAAATTTTACCTGGGACACAACGATGACATAATCAGGTAGAAAAACCATACACACACACACACACACACATACAAGCATGCAAACACACAAACACACAAACGCCACTGTTAGTTTCAGCACCTCGGACAGCACCTCAACACACACTAATCCTGTAGTGTTGTCACTGCTGGTGTCACCTTGTGTAATGTGATATGACATGTATGACACAAACACACACACATATATTCATACATACACACACACTCACTGGTCACACATACACCTACATGTACACTGCTGACACAGGTCTGGTATTTTTTCTGCATGCACACATACATGTATGTATGTTTATATGTTTGTGTATATATCTATGTGTAGACATGTACATGTGTTTCCAGTGACTGGTTCAAGGACACTCCATCAGGGCAGATTTGAGTCAGCTCTCCCGGTTCCAGCTCCATCGCTGTCTCACACGAACATTGCTCTGCTGCCACACCTCATGTCATCTCCTATAGTTTATATAGACTTCCTGATCAAACCTGTATTAATCATTGAATCTATAAAATAGGGAAAATGTTACTCTGATTATCCAGAAATAAAGACGATTCTTTCAAATTAATTTTTGTCCAACTCAAAGCCTCGAACCTTTTGGTAAAACACAGAAAAGTAACCATAGTGTTGCAACACACGTATGATGGTCCTGCCTTTCTAACTGCTTCCCAGCATGCAACACAGCAGTGACCTGTGTCCAATGCTCCAGCGCCTGTGTTGACATGTTATGTGTACGTTGGCTTGGAGATGGCTAGCATTATATTCTGTGTCGGTAGTCAGCTGGGCTCCTGCTCCATTATTAATCGGACAACAGAGACACTAACCCTCCGCTGCCCTCTGGGTGTTTAGCTGGAGGAGTCACCGACTGAACCCCAGTTGGTTCTATTAGATGCAAAAAAGCAACATGCATTTGCAAAATTAACATGCAAAGGTAATAAATTGGTAAAGCAGTTAGCCCTTTGGCAATAACATTTTCTTTGAAGCTCTGCAGATATCTTGCACTTTCCAGATAATAGCCATTGCCATAGTCGTAATTTTGAACCACTTTGGCACCACCAGGAGCAATCCCCAGCAGAATCAGTGCTGAATAAATGTGGGACTGTTCTCCCGTTGCAATAACTCATGTGGAACAGATGCAGCCCCCTCAGATAGCAGTGGAATTTAAATTCTCCTCTTTCGCTGTCTCTTTCGGCCACTGCTGTATCTTGTCTGTGAGCTACAGTGCATACACCAAATTGGTGTTTTTCTTTATGAGTTAATTGCTGGCCTCGTTTCTCGCTCTTGGTTTTCTCTCGCCCTGCAGCTTCCTCTAACTGGTCTCCCAGTCGGACGTGGAGGAGCTAATAGGCAGGTTGTCACATGAATGAACGGCCGATCCGTGCATGTAAGACAGCAGAATAGTCTGGCCTTTACTAGCCTTTTTTGGTTGGAGTGCACAGGGAAAATGGATTGAGGAGAATAAAGATAACCTTTAATGAAAACACAGTTTAATATGAGGCATGTTAGACTATTGTAAAACCAAGGTTTTTTTAATTCGTTCCTCACATGACAGTGATGCAAGTTAATCCAGTCTGAAATTCAAAGAACTAGAGGCCATGGCTAAAAATTCCGCAGGAGTGTGTCTATACTACAAAGTGTATCTGTCATGTACACACACACACACACACACACACACACTGAAAATAACATACAGGCTGGAAACCTTTTAGTCTCAGCTGGGTCATGTATTATTTGTCATGATCAGGAGTGAGGGTTAATGAGAGGGTGCATGTACACAGGTATAAGAGGCCATCTCAGGTTACGATATCTGATGGACCACAGCCAGAGTTATGGATTATAGATGCTGCCAGTCTGAGGCTGTTCTTGTTTCAGTGAGCGATGAAACATGCACTGGTAACGTTCCTGTTCATATTGTTGTATATTTTTCATTCAGCCCCATCCTTTTTTTTCCAAGTTGAAATCAGTGTGAGGTTTCATACGATAAATGTGTCAGGTTCGCAGGCGAGCGTCTGGCAAATGTGCTCGGTGAACTGTACGAGCTAATGGTGTGAACTAGCTCTGCATGTTAATCTGTAAGCTAAAGTCAAAAGTACAAAACTGACAACCATGTTCTGCACAGTCTGTGTGGTCTCCTTGACTTTCTGCATAATATTTGAATAGAAGCCGAGCAAGTGAAACAAACAACTCTGGTGTGGTAGGTGAGTGTGTGAGAATGTTTTCAGGCAATTACTGCTGATAATCATCTTGAGAGGTGAGAGATGCGACTTTCATGTCCCTGAGTCCATCTGTCTTTGTTTTAATGGAGAGTCACAGTCTGAGATGATCTATTTACAAGAACGCAGGTGTGTCCAAATTCAGGGAATGTATCCTTCAAAGGATGTGGACGTGCCCATTAGCACAAGTGCTACAAGGGATTTGCCCCTGAATTGAGACACATCTACTGGATCCTTTGCTTCTTTGGAATAAAGGGACACATTTCTCGGCCACACATTTGAAGATGAGAAAGAGTTTAGTCATGCCACTGTGATGCAATCACACTTCAAATGCACGCCTTGAGGGATGCAGCTTTTGAATAGGGACACAGCTACTGTCTTAAGTTTACTTCCATTCTAACATTGGTGTCAGTAGATTATTATTTGCTCCTGTACTCAATCATTTACGGTTGCAAAGTGATTTAGAGATATCTCTTGTAGAAAAGGCCCATCTCATCAATAACCTTTATGGCGAGACAGTGGTGTCTGCTTCATTTTGCGTCTTACCTTTACACTTACTGTACCTTTGGTCCTCTGTGTAGAGCGTCAGTGAGATGTTGAGGTCTTAGGTCTCCATCGTCACTCTGAGTAGCTGCCAGTCTGCTTTGAGAAAGGCAGCTTGGTTCCCAAAGAGCAGATATGTCTTCCCCAATTAGGATCCTTCTGAGTTCAGTACAGTTACTTAGTGCGATGGCATGATTCAGCATAGTTGTCTCGAGGATTTATGAAATAAACTCAGACAGATATCAGTTATCTGGTGGGGGTGTTATGAATGTTTTATGCAGATGAAGGGGAGCCAGGTACTCTTATCCTTGTTTTATCCTGAGTGAGATGATGCCACAAAAGTTTTATTATCCTGCATTTGAAAGTTGATGATGACAAAATGACATACAAGCAAATATTTTACACCTCAACATTAATAATGTATACATTGGTATATTCAGTATTCTGGGAATTGATATTTGTGCTTCCAGAAGATATGTACTCTATTGATTAAAAGCTTCAATTACTATTTGTTGAATGTTAAAATCAGTGATAAAACCAAAAATCTTAAATATGTCATAGTTTGTTCATTTTAAGAATTGGGTGCTTTTATGTCACATATTGTAGATATTTGAGTTTTAGACTGAAGGATCAGTATTATGACCCCACTTTGGGAAATGTAATTTTCATTTTCTATTTGACATTTTATAGACCAAATTAGTTATTAATTCATCTTGAGAACAAGTGAGCAGATTGATCAATAATGACAGTAACCATTAGTTGCAGCCTTGCAAATAAGTTTAGAAGAATTAATCCACCATTTTATCTGGTCTGGTCTCAGGGAAATATTACATTTTAAGGAAAATAATAATGGAGATTATTAATAAATTTGCACATTTTACCCCAAAAGATGAATTGGATGAATGAAATGGAAAAAACACAGTTGAAGTAACAATACTTGGTCTTGTTGATGTTTTTTTTTCAAAAGAGAAAAACGCAGCACTCCCTCAAATTTTTTAAGCTTGAACCAACAAAATATGGAATATGTCCTTAATAAATGGCTCATTAGATAAACAAACAAATTACTTACTTGTTTCTGCATCTATATTTAGAGAAGGTTCCTTAAGATGACATGCACTTGGTTTTCTTTTGGAAAATTTCTTGAACCCAGTTCATGTTCTGTGAAAATCATCGCAGGGTCTTTGCCTGCTACACCCCCTCTTCCCTTCCTCCTCTTTTCTGTCCTATTGACTTTGTCATCAAGCAGCACCACACACTCTACCACTGCTGTCGCTCATTTTATTATATTTTCAGTTTTAGGAGTCCTGGGATATATCCCATACTGTATAGACCTTCAGAAATGTGCTAATCCTGTGCTTCCTTTTAATCCACCATTGGCAAAATCAAAGGAAACTGCTGCTAGAGAACATGAATCAAAATTGTCCCAAATGTCTGGAGGCACCCTCGTCATCTTTGCCCATGTGTAACTGTTTCCATTAATGAGACAAAAATAGATTGTTGTACTCATGATGAAGAGGGAAAAGATTCATACTGGAGTGGGTAAAGACGCATCTCGTGCCCTTCTAATTGCCTCAGTCGACCTTCATCTCCTCCCTTGCTGTATCCAAACGTTGTCGCCATCATAAATCTGCTCTCCAGGCTGTTTAATTTGCCTCATATCTACATGAAAACAGACTTTTTTAATTGCTGCATTATTTAGCCAGTTTTGTACCACACAGCTTGGCAGATGTGAGACGGTCGCATCAGAGAGCTGCAGCCTATATCAAACAGGAGAACCGTGGCAATGCACTGCAGGCTAAGTCATTAGTGATGGCATTTAGCAAGCATTTCAGCTGACAGACACGAGTGCATACTCAGATATATATTTATTAAAGCAGGAAGGATACAAGACATAACTAACAAGAGTCATCGGTGCCTCCTGCACACCAACTCCATATCTAATTCTTTGTGTTTTGCGTCAGTCCAGTGTCAAACCAGACATATCCGCTGTGCTGTACCTGTTTGTGCCAGAGCAGTTTTCTCAGTCTGCATCTCAAAGTGTTCCAGTCATTTTTCTCTTCCTCTGTGTGCTATTTTTAGCTGCTTTGCTCTGATTATATAATTCATATAAAGTAAGTTGAGAAATTGTGCCAGGTTGGAGAGAGGTTCAAACAAAAAGAGGGAGAGGTAGGTTATGAGGAGGGCAGAACAAAAAGGGGAAAGGTTGGGGAAGGACAAAGATCAGGCCTGTTGCATCTAACCCAGAGATGTTCCACCAGCAGAGCTTTGTTGGCTACAGTGTTTTGAATGCAGATGGGGTGTCAAGCGTCAGAGAGATTCACGCTGAAAACCTGCAAAAGGCAGAGTTTGTCGTGAGCCACATTGACTCAGCAGGTTGATGCTGCCTGGGCCTGCGAAGCCTCCCTGGCCGTCTGTCTCAAAGTGGGATTAGAAATTCTGGAGAGCAGTTGGTGGTCTGATTATAATGGAGGGAGCTCTGTCACTTTGTGAAATGTATAGGACAGGACGCGACAAGAGGAAGAATCGCCAAATGAATCACTCAGGCCTGCCTGGAACGTGACTGGCGGCCATTGAAAGGATGGACGGCGTAGGGGGAGGGAGCGACAGCTCTGTTCTGTACAGCAGGCTGTTGCTCAGCTGTAGAGTGGCGATGCTTGTAGGTGGGGGGAGGTACGCGTGTGGAGGGCAGGGGGAGGTGGGGGAGATTATGTAAGCGTTACTAACATATGCCTGATGATGCGAGGAACGGCCAGATGAACTAGAAAAGGTGAAAGAGGCAGAAAAAAGTTCAAAGACCTCTGGGAAAATCCAGCTGAATAAACTGAGAAATATGTTAAATTCACACATTCTGCGATACTTCAATAGAGTGTGTTTGTGTGTGTGTGTAATCCAGGTATTACTCATGTTGTGGGGAGCCATCTGTCAACACATTATGGGGACTTGTCTTGCGTATGGGGACAAAAAGGAAGTCCCCCATTATGTAAATCATACAAATTAAGGTGAAGACATGTTCTAAGGATATGTTATGTTTAGGTAAAGGTTAGAGTTTGGGTTAGGCAACTAGTAACTGTGGTTAAGGTTAGAATAAGTCTCCAGGAAACCAATGTACGTCCATATAATGTCTTCTGAAGTCATTGAGACACGACTGTGTGAGTGTGTGTGTGTCTGTGTGTGTATCTGAGCATGACTGAGTTAATTGAACCATGTCACCTCGTCATGCTGCCCCTCTGCTTCCATATCCAGACCCATCACCGACTTAATGTGTTCATCTCGTCCCAGTGGCTCCCTCCAGGGAGGGTGAATCCCTCATCTGCTCTTGGCACATGCAAACACACGCTCACAAGTTTGCAAGATGGTGACGCTAACCAGATGTTTTCTCTCCCATTCACTCTCTCTGTACAGTTTAGCTCTGCATCCGGAGCGCGTGTTGGTGGCCACGGGACAGGTGGGCAAGGAGCCGTACATCTGCGTTTGGGACTCGTACACTGTGCAGACCGTGTCCATCCTCAAGGACGTGCACACACATGGCATCGCCTGCCTGGCCTTCGACCTCGAGGGACAGGTACTTCTGAGACCCAATAGTACACGTTTTTAAAGACAAAAATTGGTACTGCATAAGATGCAGCTTTTCAGTGTCTGAATGGATGACATCACACAGTCTAGCAGCACCTGGTAATGTTAATGTGAGAGAAGCTTTAGCACACAGAATCCTGAATCTACTCGTGAAAATAAGCCACAGAATGGCATTTGAAACTGAAAATGATTGAAATCTCATTGTGTGAGGGTGCCGCACTTAATAACATAGAGTTACGTTTTATAACTGGTTATGTATGCTTACTGTGGTGTTGGTGTTGTTGGTGTTGAAGGTGTTATTATTCTCTCTTATTGTCTGACGACTGCTGTGTGCCACATGATGAATTTCTGCAAGGACAAATAAATCCATCCATCCAATGGGACCATGCAGAATAAACACATTAGTCGTTCTTCACCGAGGCATTCAAGCAACCTTCTCTTTTTAGCCTTTTTATTTCCTCATTCTAGCACGTTCTCTGCAGACCTGCCACCAGTTAATTTTTACACACTGCTGCCCCCACCCAGTAAAAATCGATACAGTGCGGAACCATCCCCAGGTTTTTTGTCTTCGCACGTCTCTCTCATCCTCCCATGGGAGCTTTCAGAGCAGAGTTACATCTCCTGTATTTTGCAGTAAGAGACGGCCAGATGACCCTGTGCTATTTTCCTGCTCGGGTAGAGAGCTTGGGATTTAGATGGAATGTGACAGTGTTTTAAGCCAGAGGAGGCTCCATCGCTTCTCAGTTAAGCGGCTCTATTTACTCGTCATCTCTCTCCCCTTCCTTGATAAGAGGAAGCCAGAGCTGGACTGAGGACAATCCAGAGGAATACCCTGCTGCCATTACACCATCCACCTATTATAGCAATATAAAACAAATACACTGATGCTTGAGACATCCCCTCTAGGTGTTTCAGCCTGAACCAGTTATGCCACATAATCCGGTGTTTGAGGTCATGTTAAAGATAACACGTTTATTGTATTGATTAAAATTTGTCTCGGTATAATTTCTCTATATTTCCAGATGAAAGTCTCATTAACCCTCAGCAAGTCTAAAGAATCTACAGCCATGCTGGTGGCTCTGTGAGGCTGTAGTAGTGCCTGGAGCTACATGCTAACGTCCTCATGTTAACACACAGTGACAATTCCAACACGCTGATGTTTAGCTGGTGTCATATTTACCCTGTGACCCATTTTAGTTCAGTTTCTGTTGCACTTAACCCAAAGTGCAGCGGAGGTTAATGGAAATGTCATTAGTTCTGTAGACGGTTGACATGGATGTATTTTGCAAATTCTTAATAGCTCTCTGAATAAGTCAGTGGCATTTGGTCATAATGTGAAGTATTGGGCAAAGTTTCAACCTGTTAACGATATAGGATCATAATAATTGTAATTTATCCCAACCCTGTCTTCTAGAATTGACATCCAAGTACAACTAATTTGCAACAACAGTCATGCCTAATAGGAAAAGTAATTGAACTTGATTGGTGCAGTGCCTCAGTTCTAAACAATCTGTTTTGAATGGGCTGTTTGCTCGTCCTGTGGTAATGCTGGCTGCTGCGCTCTTTCTGAAACTGTAAAAGTCCTGTTCACCTGTTTAGTCAAAGTTCAGTGAAGCTTCACTCAATACGCAGAACCCCATTGAGAATCAGTTACTGCTGCTACAGAGCGCTGGTCTCCTGTTTAAAAAGGCCCCTAACAATACTTGTCAAGTGTGAAGCCGATAAGATGAACAGTTCTCGAGATAATTGAGCCACATGCAGACAGATCATGTTTTACTTCCACCAAGGTGGTTATGTTTTAACCCCTATCCTGTTTTTGTGCTTATCAGCAGGGTAACAAGCTTTTGAACTTTGTAGAAAAAATACGTGCAGAGAAATATCTTTGTCTGATGATGATGGCCGAATAGAAGAACAACTCGATGAGCTTCAGTTGTCCTTACTTGAATATATGAGTTTATTATAACATGGATCTGGACAAAGGGGCAGATTCACAATTTTATTTTCACTTTCTTTACGATTATACTATACTATATATATTATACTATAAAGCCTTTATTGACATTTCCCCCAATTTCCAAGGAAATAATTAATTGATGTTGATCGAAAAAACTAATTCAGGGGACTGATATTTACGAGTGTGTTGAAGTGTTGAATTTAGGGGACTGTTGGGACTTCGTGGAGGTATAGTCTCATTCTAGTCCATTCATTTAATAATGTTGTTTCTTTTATTTATTATTTATTTCACACATATGTTGCTACTGAGGCTAAAACAAAAAGTTCACATACAATGTACTTGATTATTGCAACTATTTAAACACTATGTTCAGCCAACAAAATTACGAGTAACAGTTTAGTTGAATATGAAGAGAATTTCTAGAAGACATCCTGAGGCAGACACAAATATCTGCATGGAATTTCATAGCAAGTTTTCAAAATGTGACTGAACTTCTCAACCTCATCACCCATATCATTTCTCTGGATTTCATCACAGTGGGCCTATTTAGTTTTGATTAAAACACAGACTTCTCAAATACAAGTTCTAACAGGATAAGTGCCTCAGCAGAGTCTATCCACGGCAAAATATTGATTGAGCGGTGGGGATCAAAAAGTACATCCTCTCACATGCAAAGCAAGCTGCAGAGTGGAGAAGGATTTCCATAAGAGCTGCTCTCTCCTCTTCTCTTCTGCTCCACTGCTGCTGCTGCCTACTCACTCAGTCAGCTATAGGAGGCTCCTCCAGCAAAAGCACACAAATGTGTGCTCAGTGGAAGTGCCAGGGGCTGGACAACTGTTCTGTTCTGCTCTGTATCCGTTATTAGCCCTTTCATCGCTGGCGTGCCACGCTGCAGTGGAGGTAGCGAAGTTTGTTTTTGCTGTGATTAGTGCAACAGAGCAGAGTCGGTTCAATCTGTGATGTCGAGTCGTTTTCCTTTGCTCTCTTCGCAGTGCTTGGTGTCCGTGGGCCTGGACTCAAAAAACACAATCTGTGTGTGGGACTGGAGGAGAGGGAAGGTCCTGGCAGCCGCTCCCGGTCATACAGACAGGGTAAACACTTTCTTCCTCCCCCCCTGTCTCCATCACAAGCTCTCTATCGACCGCCTCAATTAGCTATAAACGTTGGATGGAGCGCCTGCCCAAAGGGGACATAAACAAGTTAGGCCTGATTGATTGTGAGCTTTTCAGAGCCCTTCTGAGAGGGTGCACGGCTAATGAAAAGGAATCTTAAAAAGATGAAATACAGCCGGCTGTTGTGTTCTAACTCAGCCCACACATTTAAAAATCACATCTGCCGCAAAACTCACACGCACTAGACCTCGAGTTTTGTTGTTTGTGTAACTATAAGCCAGTGTTTAATGCATTGTGTGTTTTTCCTCTCCTGCAGATATTCGACATTTCATGGGATTTGTACCAGCCGAGCAAGCTTGTGAGCTGCGGTGTCAAACACATCAAGGTACGGCCATCGCTTCCTGGTCATTTTACATCCTTTAGACGTCAGCTGTCTCTCCAGTTTGTCAAGTTCTCATTAGCATAAATATCTGAAAACATGATTATGATTTTGAGGAGGTCTGAAGCATCTCTTGGCTCCCCTGCCATCTCTGCTTTATCACCATGACCATATCAGCCTTGAAATAGCCTCAAAATAGATATATGCAAATTCCCTCTATTCTAGAATCCATGCTTATTAGGCACTTAACATAAGAAGAAGAGGCAGTGACTCAGTCTCTTCTCTCACATTTTTAATAATCTGCACTGCAGAGGGGGTGGAAATGTATTCTTTTTATTGGGGACCATGACTCTGCTATACTCCTTTCAGCTCTCCCTCATTCAGCTTTCAAAAACCCTCCACTGTACAAAGTGCAGCTGCGCTCACTTCCCTTCAGGGGCCTATCTCTATCACTTCTTTTTCACAGAAGAGTGGTGTTCATAAATCTTCAATGAGTTCATGCAGGGTGTCTTTCGCCAAACCCTCCCTTGGGACATGTAGTAGTGTTCCTTGAGTTGCGCGGCCATTAAGATATAACAAGGAGTGCATAGCCAAGGAGGAAGCTTATTTCCAAAACACTGGGAAGTGAGTGAATCATGCTCGGATAGGAAATGTGCCCACGGGCCCCCGGGAGGCTAAACATAGCGGCACATTCAAATGGGTTTGATGCAGTCGGCGTGGCTTAGCCTACTGTACGTATTGCCCACTGGTGTAACCTCTCACTGATGACTCCCTTATCTCAATCCAGCTTGACCTGCCTCCTCTTGTAGTAATTCCCCCCTGAACTCTTCCCCCACCGTCGTGGCACAGAAACCCCCTCCGGCCGCAGAACACGCCCCCTGGTTCCTGCTGAATCCTCCAGTCTCTCTCCTCCTCATCATCCTCCTCCTCCCCTTTTTCCCCTCCGTTCTGGTTTTCTGATGCCAAGGCAATCCAGCAATTGTCCCACATAATTCCCCAGCCTTCACCCTGCAGACCATGTGACATCTGCTCCCCAGCCCAGTGCTCGCTCAGCGATTATAGCACAATCCAGGAGATTTAGCCCCAGTAATCCAACCACTACCAGGCTGAGGAAAACACACCCTCTGTGATGAGGACCGGGGGCGCTGGCAATGTTTTACTCCTCACACGCCTCCTCGTAATTATATCGACATTTCTGTTTTAATATGTTTGAAACCACTTAGAGAGCAGCACACACACAGACATACAACACACATACCATTCATTCACCCACTCTGTGACCAGTGGCTGAATGAATTCAGTTGTTTAAAGGATTGTACCACCAATGGTTATTTACCATTTTGGCTTGTGAGCCCTTAAAATAAAAATAAAAATCAGCTTGCAGCACTAATGACAGCTAGTTGTTCAGTTTACCTTACAGCAAGGTGCCAAAGAAGCGACCTCTCTTATCATAGCATTTAATGCTCTGACACCGTCCAGGGTCACAGTCTGATAGGAGGGGTATTATGAGTAAGATAAAGGGGTGAGGGGTCGTCCTTTAGCTGCAGTCACTGTGCTACAACCATCTCTGCCATAATTACATTTAAAGGGCTTTTCCTGGAGCTGTGATTGAGGTAACTGAGCTAATGGCATACCACTAATCCTGGGTGAAGAGCAGCAGCTTCCACTGTGTCATCATTGTTAATTAAGCTCTTAAGAAAAGATATTCAGAGAAGAAAAAGTCTTGATGTCAACTTAAAGCAGTATCATTTTCCAGCATATTTCCACTTCTCTCGCTCCCTCTTTGGTTTCCTCCCCTGTGCCAGGCCTTGTTATAAACCCCTCAAGCATCCCGTCTCCTGTCAGTATCTAAGGGATTATAGTGGGTGCCCGTGTCTCACCACCTTATCAGTTGCGGGCAGGGAAATGCTGTGCAGTCACGCCGCATCCATCGCTGCTTTTTCTGCTGGGCAACAAAAACCTCCGACCAACCCCATTCTTACATACCCGGCACTTAACACACTTGAATCTGCATATACACCTTCTCAGATTACTCACACACCTATGATCTTCTCTACTTAACCTTCAACCACCACATGGAGGCTCAAGCACTTGCAAATAGTCGCTCAAGATCCCAGTGAGGAGCCCAGGGACAGGAGAGTCCTGGTGTGTTGAGGTGCAGCCGTCAGATGTTTGATGGCAGGGCTGTATCTGAGGCTGCGATGTTTGTCTCTGATAATCGATCCCCCCTGTTAGCGCACAGCAGCTCTATCAGTCAGGAGGATAGGTGTTAGTGAGCGGTGACAGGCTCTCGCTGACAAGGAGCTAATTTGTCCATTCTGTGCGGATCTGTAAGGCCTCTGCAGATCAGTTGTTGTGTGATTACAGAAAACACTACCTGCATGTTCTGTCTTTCCTGAGCTTCATCAGCTGTTAAATTATTTTTGCAGTGAAGCAAATGTCAGCTAATGTAGAGGTACAGTAAATCCTCCTGTAGGTAGAGCAGACAAAAGGCCATCCACCTGTCATTTTCCTGTCGCTCGCTGCTGATGAGTCTCTGTTTCTCAGCATTTGAGACGCACTCTGTGAGCTTTCTCCCCGTGATCTCATCTCCATGCAGACGGAGCGTCCCTCTTTCGCCCTCTCCTCCTCCGCCTGATGGATTTAGCGCTCAGACGATGCCGTGCCCATGCATTCCAATGACCCTGTTCATAAATAATGAACCTGCGTGTATGCATGCGTGTACGTCTCTCTCAGTGCATGTTGATCAGGTGGTTAGCACTTACCCCCCAGCAAGAGCTCCCACTATCACGTGCACAGTATCACAAGTGGGGCAGGGCACTTTGAATTTGACTTTGCTTTCCTCCAAAGACTGTGTGTGTGTGTGTGTGTTTGTGTGTGTATACACCATTTTGTTACCTTTTGGGATCTTTTCCAGTAAATACACTGACCTTGTCAGGACCCTAGATCTCATGGGGACCAAACCTGGTTCTGATGTCCTGCTGAGGCAAAGCATTATCTTTGAGGTCCTGGTTAAGGTTAGGTATAAGTTAAGCTGTCCACAATGAAGGAGGTCAATGCAAAGTCCTTATAAGGAGACACTGCCAGCCTGTGTGGGTCTGTGTGTACGTGTGCAGATAGCCTATCTTCGTGAGGACCATTGTCTTATAGAGTGAGGACATTTTTGCTGTTCTTCACTTTCTGACCCACTTTCAATGGTATGTGTGAGGGTTATGCTAATGAGTGTCCTCACTAAGATAGAAGTACAAGGTTGTGTGTGTGTGTGTGTGTGTACGTGTGCATGATGATGATGATGATTTTCACTCTGCCGTATCCAAATGCTACATAATTATCCATTTGCTCTTTTAGGACAGGATTACACGGGGGATTATTAGCTGCCATACTCTTTCACTCTTTCTGTTTGTGTTCACAGTTTTGGAGCTTATGCGGTAATGCTCTCACACCGAAACGTGGCGTTTTCGGCAAAACGGGGGATCTCCAGACCATCCTCTGCCTTGCGTGCGCCAAGGACGAGGTCACGTATTCAGGTGCCTTGAATGGTGACATCTACGTTTGGAAAGGGGTCAACCTGATGAGGACGGTGCAGGGAGCTCACGGGGTGAGTTTGAAACCAGAAAAAAAAAAAATCTGAGTGTTTGGTGCTTTGTGGCTTAGGCTGCTGCACCATTTGTACAAGAATTACAATAAAAGCATTTCGTAAACTTAACCGGGGTCGCAGCCACGCACGCTGGCTTCGTTTGAATCTGCTCAGTGGAAAAGGATCAGCCTTTTGCTCAACAGGATTAAATGATATCTATGGGATCAACAGCTGGGTGAGGGGATGGGTGGATGGGGGAGGGGATAATAACTACAGTGCATGTTCATTGCTGCTTTTTGTTCCACCAAATACCTCACTGGGGCTTTAAGGTGCCTCTCTGTGTATGCACAGTAACTTTAAGGCCATTGAGGCCACCAGAAAAGCTTTGTATTGAGTGATAAAGAAAATATAACCTCCTGATACCTAGTGCTGCGTTATCTTGGGGCCAAAGCAGCAGGTCTGACAGCCCTGTTAAACAAATGCCTGGCTGAGCAGCAGCACTATGTACTCTGTAGCTGGGGCTGGTTCTGCTGTTGCTCATTTATTGCACAGATCCTCACTGACAGCTTGTCATTTCCTCCAGTCAGGGATTTTCAGCATGAATGCCTGTGAGGAGGGCTTCGCCACTGGGGGCCGAGACGGCTGCGTCCGGCTGTGGGATCTCAACTTCAAACCAATTACCGTCATTGATCTCAGGGAAACAGATCAAGGATATAAAGGTGAGGTCAAACTGGCCTATTTTTTAACCTTAACCTTGAGTGAAGAGAGGTCACAGACCAAACTGCGGCCTCCTGAGGTGCTGGAAGAATTGTAGAAAGAACACCCTGTTGGATGAAAATGCCATTTCTGTCCTCCTTGCTAACACTTTCTTTCTTGTTCTCTATTTTCTCCATCTCTCATATTTGTAATCTGGGACCTTACAGTAGCTAGAGGTGAAAATAGCCGAGGTGGGTAAAGTCACTGAGGGGGCGGAGTTAAAAATCATGTCAGTCTGTTTGTAAAAGTCCTCACATTGTTCTGCTTCCTCTTGTTAGTAAGTCTGAGCTCTGTTGCAGTTTTACGCCGTATACAGATGTTGTACTCACATCTGTATACAGCACATACTTTCTCCATCCTATTCTGTATTACCCAGAGGCAGTAGCAGATCGCCTTGACAACATGTCCTGTCAGCATATTTCCTGTTAAAAACTCCGTCCAAGGTAGCCTGCAGATAGCTGTCATCAGCTCCTGTCTTTATTATCCCTGTCATGTCTGGCAAGTGTCTGTCTGCTTTCATGTTTCCATGTTTTTTGATTTATTCTGCTTGATTTTTTATGTTTTCTATTTGTGTGTGTTCCATAGGGCTGTCTGTGCGGAGTGTGTGCTGGCGGGGCGATCACATCCTGGTGGGAACACAGGACAGCGAGATCTTTGAGGTTGTGGTCCACGACCGCAACAAGCCCTTCCTCATCATGCAGGGGCACTGTGAGGGCGAGCTGTGGGCGCTTGCCGTGCACCCCACCAAGCCTCTGGCCATGACAGGAAGTGACGACCGCTCAGTCAGGTGAAGCTTCAGTTTCAAAGGATGCATGTTACATTTATTTTCAGTAATACTGACAGAGTGAGTGTCTAAATAATTGACACTACAGTTATTAACTTTGTGTTTGGACAATAATCTTTGTAGTTCACAATGGCCTCCGAAGGATGCAGCCCCTGAATTAAAAACAGCAGTTAGTAATTTAATAAAACTGACATTTTTTATCAACTGAACAAGAAAGTGTTCATAGATAGTCAATGCACAATCTTAATAATAATGTGCAATCACAAACCAAATACCAGAAACCAGCACTTCCTCTTCATTTTGTACTTACAGACTATTTTCTGGTTGCATCTCTGCTCTGGTTGTTTGACCTTCTTTAATCTCATCACTGCTTCGCCTCTTCATTTGTCCTCCCCTTCCTCTGCGTCTAAAGGATATGGAGCCTTATAGATCATGCTTTAATAGCCCGCTGTAACATGGAGGAGCCCATCCGCTGTGCCGCTGTTAGCACCGATGGCATTCACCTCGCGCTGGGAATGAAGGATGGCTCGTTCACTGTTCTAAGAGTCAGGTGGGTCCGCAATTCAAAGAGCCAATGGGAAATTTGCCAAATAAAACGAAAGGCTCCATTATATTGTGTAAATTGTAGTTCCCTGTTCAGGCTATGTTTATCTGCCTTTCTTCAGAGATATGACAGAAGTGGTTCACATCAAGGACAGGAAGGAGGCCATTCATGAGCTCAAGTATTCTCCTGATGGAGCCCATTTGGCTGTCGGCTCCAATGATAACTCCGTGGACATCTATGGTGTGGTGCAGAGGTACAAGAAAGTGGGCGAGTGCATTGGCTCCAACAGCTTCATTACACACATGGACTGGTCCACAGACAGCAAATACCTGCAGACCAACAACGGCAGCGGCAGGAGGCTTTTTTACAGGATGCCAAGTAAGTACAAGGCCGTAAATGTTACCAGCTGAATGAATCTTACTCCTGGACTGATATTAAAGAAGTGTTTAGTAAAATATGTTGTTACAGAGCTGCTTTGTGAAATTAAATATGTCTTTCCTCTGTTGAGGTGGGAAGGAGGTGACCAACAGGGAAGAGCTGAAGCTGGTACAGTGGGCGTCGTGGACGTGCGTGTTAGGCCCCGAGGTTAATGGAATATGGCCTAAGTACTCAGATATCAATGACATCAACTCTGTGGATGCCAACTACAACAATCAAGTCTTAGTAACAGCTGACGACTATGGATTAGTCAAACTTTTACGATATCCATGTATAAAAAAAGGTAAAGAAGACCTCAGCATTTAACAAAAATCTCACATTATTACCTTTTGTTGTACTGATATATTTCCTTTTCATTTTAGGTGCGAAATTTAAGAAGTATTTAGGTCATTCAGCCCACATAACCAACGCTAGGTGGTCACATGACTACCAGTGGGTGATAACTATTGGTGGTGCTGATCACTCCGTGTTCCAGTGGAAGTTTGTTCCGGAGAGAAAGTCTAAAGAAGCTCTGCATATAGCTCCGCAAGGTGAGATTATACCGTCCCTCATTCACTATTTATATTTTATTTTAATTATTTACTGATATATGGGATTTATTTTCCACTTAAAACTGTAGCATTTGCATTTTACCTTGTTATCAATCCATTAATGGGATATTGCAGTGTTATATTTGAATGGAGATATGTGTGGACACCGGTGGCACCCAAACCAAAACCCATACAACCAAAAGCCATAACTGAATTTTAGAAATTGTATATATATAATATCCTGTTGTAACACGTCAACGTGAGAGTTAAGGAAACTGATTGACTTAACTTTTTTTAAAACAAGTTCATGCTTTTTATTATCTGAAGTACATAGATTTATACCATGAGGCAAGTATTTTTACCTTCACAATAATCCTATATGGTATTTAAGTTATGTTACGATACATATCTACATGTATTTGGTGGTTAAAGAAGAGATTGAGAGATGACATTGATTGTTAAAAAACTGTGACACTATCAAAAGAAATGTTTACTGAGTAGAATACATACATTTTTCAAACTTTAAGTAAGTAATGAATGATTTACCTACTTAGTCTGGTGGCCTCATCTGAACTGTGCCGGCAGCTGCTAGTTTCCAATGATGCTCAGCTGCTGATGTCTATGAGAGGCAGACTGTTAACTGTGTGCTCAGGCCGCATCTTCTCAAGCTGCTTCCACTTGCACTTGGACAATGGAGTAGCATTCACTAAAACTTGGACATCAGAGATTCACTGAATCAACCAGCTACCTTTCAATTAAACTGTGTACCAGTGAGATGTCAGAGTAAAATTCCATAATCCATTAGAAGAAATAATGTGTCACAGCATTTCTTAGTTACCTATAAAGGTTTGTATGACTATGGCTCAGTGTTGCGTAACGTGTGGAACCATACTGCTCCCACTGGCCTCATGAACTTAATGTGCTAAACCACCAGAGAGCAATGTAGTAGATTGTTCCCTTCCCGTACTTTAAAATCTTTTTTCTTATTAACTATAATTTCTGTAAAGCTCTACAAAGGAGCAGCCATCACATTAATTAAGACAAATCTAATAAAGTGAACGAAGCTTGGAAAGTATAATTGCGATGTCATTCCCAAGTCATATTTTTTCCAGAGGCAGAGCAGCTGTGCTTTGTGAAATTAAAGTACATACTAACTGCCTTTCCTTTTAATTTCCCTAATGGATCTTCTGAGTAGCCGCCCTCAGCTGCCAGCTCTGCTTATTGCCTTGTCTTGGCGTGGCTTTACTCTGCTGCATCAGCATTTTTATACATTTGTCTTGCGCGATGTCACAGTAAAGCAGGACTGCCTGATAAATAGGAGTTGTCACAGTATTATTACATGATCGACCCTCACTTCGGCTGAAATAGAATGTGGTGTATTTTCTTGTGTGTGTGCAGTGGGACATTTGTCTGATTTAAGAAGCATTGGTGTGTTTCACTGGTGACCTGTGATGCAACCTTGGTTCTGCTTGCAGAGACCTTGGCGGACTCGAACAGTGAGGAGTCGGACTCTGACCAGTCGGACGTACCTGAGATGGACTCTGAAATCGAACAGGAGACTCAGCTGACATATCGACGACAGGTTTGTGGCAAGAAGATTCCCCCTTTCCTTTGTGAAACGTGTCACAACTCAAATCACAGTTTTTAATAATGCAGAAAAACACTTTTCTTTATGCGTCCAGGTTTATAAAGAAGATCTACCTCAGCTCAAAGAGCAGTGCAAAGAGAAGCATCGAGCAACAGCCATGAAAAAGAGGGAGCGAGCCCCGGGGAGCAGGGTGAAGCTGCACTTCATTCATGGGTAGGTAGTAACAGTAATCTGTAGAGATGTTGAAGGTTGGTGGTTTGATCCCCAGCTCTGCCCTCAGACTAGATTCTGAACCGTAATTACCCCTGACGGCTATGAATGTGTGGGTTGTGCTAGAAAAAATGCTGCGTTGTATGAATGCATGGGTGATTCATCTTGTACTGCAAAGCGCTTTAAGTGGTTGAGCTCTAAATATAAATTCAGTAGAAAGAATTTCCAATTACAGCCAATATTTCCCAAAATCTCACTTTAAGCGTATTATCTTCTTTCCCTTTACTCTCCCTTAAATTTGAGTATGTTTTCTTTCTTTTCAGCTACAGAGGCTACGATTGCAGGAGCAACCTGTTCTACACGCAGACCGGGGAGATCGTCTACCATGTAGCTGCCGTTGGGGTTGTGTACAACAGACAGCAGAATACCCAACGTTTCTACATGGGTCACGATGATGACATCCTCTGTCTGGCCATACACCCCCTCAAGGACTTTGTAGCAACAGGCCAGGTAGCTGCCAGCGCATCTGATATACAATATATAAGCTTTTTTGTGTGTGCGTGTGGGATTCTTGGCTCCTTGCAGTTGGGTTAGCCTTGCTTGTTTGAGTCACTACATAAGAATTTCAGCGTTTAAATAAGTAGATTTTTAAACTGTTTATCTATTCAGGTTGGCAGAGATTCCTCCATCCACATATGGGACACAGAGATGTTGAAACCCATGTCCGTGTTGAAGGGTTTCCACCAGCTCGGAGTGTGCGCTCTGGATTTTTCCGGTAACACCCAGTTCTGCTTTCTCAGATTGCTTTTAGTTCGCCTATCAAGACAGATTCAATATAACATCCGCAAAAGCTTCTAGACCAATGTTTTCACGGAAGATAGAAAGGAAAAACGTCTTTCACATATCAAAGAAATGGACAAATTCACAAGACTACCAATTTGTAAGCAGCACTGAGAAAAGCCTATGTCTGCAGTCTTTTAGTCGGCCCAAGGCGGGTGCAGCACGTTGATCTGTGTGTCAGTGTCAGTGAATCACCTGCCGCAGATCAAACCCACTACTCCTCTTTCATGTTGCTGACAGTCGAACTTCCCTGAAACCACTGAATGGTTTTCCGCTTTCTCTCTACAGCGGACGGGAAGCGGCTTGCCTCAGTGGGCCTGGACGACAACCACACCATCGTGCTGTGGGACTGGAGGAAGGGGGAGAAGCTCTCTGCCATGCGGTTAGTATGGTCGTATTTAAGGTGTTGTATTTAATCTGCTGCTGCAGATCGATTGGTCACTTTTAGTTGAAATATGGACATTTACAGATGAAGGTTAAATTGAAACCACTTTGCTGTGGACGTCTGACAGCCTGATTGATGGAGGAGAAAAAAAAAGAGAAGAGGAATTATCTTTTAGATTACATGCTCCCCTGCAACACTTAACCTTGCCAGAGCCTGAATGGTTAGAGTAGTAGACTTTGCCCAGAGGCCTCGACTGTAGATCCATAATTAATCATCGTTACTTTCAATTTACATCTTCTATTGGATTATCCTGGTGAGTTAGAGCTGCTTAATTTCATTTGCATAAAGAAGGAATGTGTTTTTAAAGATGTGTCATGTTTCTAAATTACAGACAATAATAGCAAATGGGTTAGAAAAACAAAGTGATTAAAGGATTGATAAAAGTAATAGGAAGTCCTGAAAGCAATCACTCACACACATCCTACACATTTGTCCTGATGACTGAAATAAAGTGGACCATAAAGACTGAGAATAAAAACCTTGTATCGTTTAAAAGTGAATTAAAGAGAAAGGAAGATTTACTCCAGTTGCATTTGTGTCACAATTCTGAGCTGAAGTGCTGAAACTGAAGTTCGCACATGCCTGAGACAGCGATGCAACTGATAGCTGCTCACATTGGACTGTAATGCAAGCAGTTTTTCCTTACCTGACCTGAATTATCAACGGCTGCAAAGCATGAGAGGTTTCCTTTGTTCCGAACATAATGCAATGTTCGATTTACATAATCAGAAAATATTATATAATCTGGAAACCAAAACACCAAAGCAGGATCCAAAACTCCATCTAACTGGAAAACATCTGCATCCCAAAATATCCTTTGCTTTGTTGCTTGTCCTACTTGATGTTCATATTTAGCATCTACAACAATGAAATCCCGCTAGTTCCGGGCAGTACATTTGCGGGTTGCTCTCCCGTGTGTTGTGTGCCAGCCGCTCGCTGCAGCTCAGGGACAGCTGCACTGATCTTTCCTTCGCAGACCCTGGTGGGCAGCACAATGAAGCGGGCAGACGGAAACGGGACCTGACAAGAGCCTGGCTAGTACACTGCCAATGTCTCAGCTTCGGCTGAGGCAAGGAGAGGAGTGGGTGTGAGGAGGAGAGGCGGAAAAGAAGGTGTAGGGTCAGGATATGGAGAGGTGGCAGATATAATAATGAAGGGAAAGAAAGAAAGAAAGAGAGAGGGAGGGGAGGGGTGCGATATTTCTGGAGCTTCACTGAGACTAATGCAGCAGTGCAAAGGGCAACAATTAGGGATGTTAAGTGTCAGACACGGTTCATTGCATCAGGCCCGACCAGCCACTGATCCTAATGTTCATAAAGTGTAAAGAAGAAGACAGAACAAGAAGATAGTTACACTTTGCTGGATTCTTCCTCTGGTTTTTCTGTTAGGGAGCTGAAAACTGAGGGAGGCCACCTTGTTATCACCCTTAGTTTCTTCTTTAGGTTCCTGCTTATTGTTCAGATGGCAACTCATAGAACTGATTATTGTACGTGAAGAATTATGCAGCAAGATGGAGGCTCACTTTTACAGCATCAGGTCTACAGCCTACATTCCCTCTAGAAGCATGCTCTGGTTCAACTTCCACAAATTCTTTGTTCGTAAACTTTTCTACAGAATCATGTGTACTTTGGTTTTTGCATCATTGCTTATATCCACAGTATAATCTTCCTCTCTAAATAACAACATCTAGTTTATGTGACACTCAATTTGTTA